CCCTACCCCTCCCCACAACAGACACCCTGTGAGGTAGGTGGGTCTGAAAGAGCTCTCCCGAGAACTATCCTTGAGAGAACAGCTCTGAAAGGACTTAAAACTGACCCAAGGTCACATGTGGAGGAGTGGGGAATCAAACCCGGTTCTCCCGGATTAGAGTCCATGCTCTTAACCACTACACCAAACTGCCTCTTTATGTAGAAAAGCAAAAACCTGTGCCTTTTCTTTTTCAGAAATGGAGGTGGGAACTATGTTCCAGGTGCTGTTCAAGTCTTTAACCTAAAAGTAATTCCTAATATCTTTTATGGAGTAGCCATAAGGATTATCTCGGTAAATGAACATATTGAAGATCTTCTGGAGAGCCAGTTTTGTGTAGTGGTTAAGTGCGCAGACTCTAATCTGGGAGAACCGGGTTTGATTCCCCACTCTTCCACTTGCACCTGGCTGGATGACCGTAGTTCCGTCAGAGCTGTCTTTGAAAAAGAGCAGTTTCTGTCAAGAGCTCTCTCAGCCCCACCTACCTCACAGGGTGTCTGTTGTGGGGAGGGGAAGGGAAAGGAGTTTGTAAGCTGCTCTGAGACACCTTTGGGTAGTGAAGGGCGGGGTATAAATCCAGTCTCTTCTTCTTCTTCTTTTACCTCACAGGGTGTCTGTTGTGGGGAGGGGAAGGGAAAGGAGTTTGTAAGCCTCTCTGAGACACCTTTGGGTAGTGAAGGGCGGGATATAAATCCAATCTCTTCTAATTCTTTTATGTTTTCTGCAAAAACTATTTTGCTGTGGTGGCTGTTGTGGCTCTCCGTTCAGAACCGGGCCAACCTTCCCTTGAGGCAAGGGCTTGGTTACAAGTGCTTAGATGGTTCATCAAGTCATACTTGAGCAGCAACAGCTAGCTGGCACTCCTGAAAGAAGACTCTGATAGGTCAATGTGGTTTAAGATTGTGTTTGAGAAACTGTTCGCTCTCGATGTTAACCTGGAAACTATCCAGGCCCTGGGCTTTCACGCAGCATTTGCTTTGGTAAAAAGTTGTGTACAATCAAACAATCACCAGAGCTTTGCCTTTAGAAGAAGAAGAGATTGGATTTATACCCCACCCTTCACTACCCAAAGGAGTCTCAGAGAGGCTTACAAATGCCTTTCCCTTCCCCTCCCCACAACAGACACCTTGTGAGGTAGGTGGGGCTGAGAGAGCTCTGACAGAAACGGCTCTTGAGAGAACAGCTCTGACAGAACTATGGCTTGCCCAAGGTCACCCAGCAGCTGCAAGTGGGGAATCAAATCCGGTGCTCCCAGATTAGAGTCAGTGCACTTAACCACTACACCAAACTTTAGAGCATGCCGTACCTGTTCATCCCAATTTTTTGGTATTCCACCTCCAGAATCTCTTCCCTCCTACACCTATCTGGTGTCTCCCCAAAGCATGTTAAGAGCATTCATTCTGGCCAGACTAAATGCTCACTCCTCCACAGTTATGAGGGGAAGGTTCATACATTTACCTTACTCAGAATGAATGTACCCCGTCCCTTAGGTAAGATCAACACGATAGCACATATCCTTTGGGAGTGTCCTTTGTACACTAATCTCAGGAGGCGTTATATTCCACTGTGTTTGCAAGCTCATTCTGACGTATATTCCAATGACCTAGTTACCTTTATACTTGCTGGCAGGGATCCAAAATAACTCTAGCAGTTGCATTTTTTGTTTACTCCTTTTGTCTACTGGGTGATAACAACATCTGTTCACTGCTCAGGATCTATGTATCATAGACCTTTATTGGATAAAAGGAAAGGAAAGAAATAATAGGTGCTCTTGCGTACTTAAGTATCACTGTAGCAAACTATCCTAGGAGACACACAAAGTGGAACTAGAACTAAGATGGCTTAATCTACAGCTAGAGAGTAGTTTACTGAGTTTTCATCCCTTATATATAGATCTACAGGCATTAGAAGTTGATGGACTTTATCAGACCAAGGAACCGTTAAAGGAGCAGGCTTTATTTTTTTTTTTTAGTGAGCAGTCTATTTATTTATTCTTTTTCAAGTGTATCTTCTCGTATCATAAACGTCAAGCCGTGCGTCGCTTTTCCAGGAGGATATCCTACCTAAGCCTGTTGAGTTTTAGCAAAGTGGCTTCAGCAACTGTGTGTTTTGCAGGCACATCCGGGCAGCACCCATGGTTCTCTGACACTTCAAGGGGCTGCCCTTGCACAAAGCGAAAGAGAGACCCTTTGCGGGGAAATGCCTTCCCTTGCCACCTTCATTGCTGCCCTGCCAGATAAGAGGGAATTAGGAAGTGCTGACAGTTCTTACTGGCAAACATTCTCCCCAACCCTGAGTATCCCAGTAATCCTGAATCAAGATTCTGGAAACTGCAGGACAGGGGAAGCCACCTGGATGGGGCTGCCAAGCCCCAATGGGGAATGGTATAAACCATAGATTTCCCAGTGATTCCTAGAGTTACGGAAGGTCATGTGATGTAGCACCGCAGCTAGTGCTGCCCCTCCCCCCATTTCCCTGTCAACAACCCTTATACTGCCTGGCAGGCTTACACCTGGATGGGTTTAAAGGGAACAAGTGCGCCATGGGAAAGTGGGAAGTTTACCCAAGTGGCAAAGGAAGGGAACGTGGCTGTAGAGAGTTGTGGGAAGTTATTAGGAAGCTAGAAACTAGTCAGGGAGGTGTTTGGAGTGAAACTGAGCAGGAAAACAGGCAAAAGGCCAATGAGGCGGTACTTCAGGTGGTAGATTTGGACAGTTCCCCCTCCTGTTCTACCTGCCCATTTGTTATATCCTGAACTCCTCTACCCGGGGCCCGTAGCTACAGTGGAACCGAGTTGACAATGGGGTTCTTGATCATAGGAAGACCTTGGTTCTCTCTCTGGGTGGCAAATCTTCATCCTGGCCTTTTTGCTCCATCAGTGGACAGGCAACCATTGATCCTCTAGCCTTTATTTTATTCAGGGAGTTGCCAATGGGGAGGGGGATTAAAATGATACCAATGGAACTAAGTGTTGCAGCTGGGGAAGTCCAGCCCATCCTTTCTGACATATTGGGGTGGATCTTATCCCTGTCCACCCACTCCACTGAGCAAAGTTAGAAGCCTACTTTCAGCCTAAGGAGCCTTCTTCTATATTTGAGCGACCGTTCTTCTGGAGCAACAGCCACTTAAGACAGACAGAGAAAAACCAAGAACCACAGCACTCTATTGCCTTATATATGAATGCAAATGAATTGTATAATTCTATTTTTCGTATCAGCTTTACAAAAACGATGAACAGTACGCGCACAGGCCATCAGACGTTCAAATGAAAAGTCCCTTGTTAATTTCACAGCAAATTGTTTTCTTCATAGACCTCATGGAGCAGCGACCAATGGGCCCATCCGGATATGAAGACCATTTCAAGACACGATTCTTCCTCAAGGTCGCCTTATTCTTTTCGGAACGAATGCTCTTGACAAATCCTTACGAGCTAGCAAGCTACTTTTTTGTTGTGTTGGCATATAGGTTCTCCAGTGGGTCCAAAAGAATAGCTTGTTAGCATGTGAGGGTTTGTCAAGCGCATTGGTTCCGAAAAGAATAAGGCGACCTTGAGGAAGAAGCGGGTTGTTTTCTCCGTAGAGCTCAGGCACCAGCGACCGACGGGCCCATCCGGATATGAGGACCGTTTCAAGACACAGTTCTTCCTCAAGGTCGCCTTATTCTTTTCGGAACCAATGCTCTTGACAAATCCTCATGCGCTAACAAGCTACTCTTTTGTTGTGTTGACATGCAGGTTCTCCAGTAGGTCCAAAAGAATAGCTTGTTAGCACGTGAGGGTTTGTCAAGCGCATTGGGTGTTTGGAGTGACACTGAGGTCGCTGATGCCTGAGCTCTACGGAGAAAACAACCTGCTGTGAAATTAACATTCGGACCAATTTTCATTTGGACTTCTGATGGACTGTGCGAGTACTGTTCATCGTTTTTGTAAAGCTGATACGGGGGGGGGAATGGAATCATACAATTCATTTGCATTCATATATAAGGCAATACTGTGTTGTGGTTCTTGGGTTTTCTGTGTCTATTACACACCGTAGGTCCATTTATTATTATTTTTTGGTTAATAATACTTAAGACGGACAGAGCATCCCCATTTTGTAGCTCGCCATATACGTCTATAAAGAGAAACAAAAGGGTCAGGCCATCTCTTGACACCAGCCCTTTGCTTCCATTCAGGACTTACATTTGCTCACGGTGAGAATTGGAAGGTGATGCGGCGATTTGCATTAACCACCTTGCGTGACTATGGAATGGGCAAGAGGACCATAGAAGACAGGATTGTTGAAGAATGCCACTTCCTAATACGGAAATTTGAATCCTACAAAGGTGGGTCGGTGTTGTCTCCTGTGCTCTAAGAACGTATCCACGAGCCACAGTATGAATCGATTTTTGTAACAGCGTTCCGTGCGCCTTGGTAGAATGCTCTTGACAAATCCTTACGAGCTAGCAAGCTACTTTTTTGTTGTGTTGGCATATAGGTTCTCCAGTGGGTCCAAAAGAATAGCTTGTTAGCATGTGAGGGTTTGTCAAGCGCATTGGGTGTTTGGAGTGACACTGAGGTCGCTGATGCCTGAGCTCTACGGAGAAAACAACCTGCTGTGAAATTAACATTCGGACCAATTTTCATTTGGACTTCTGATGGACTGTGCAACAACCCGCTTCTTCCTCAAGGTCGCCTTATTCTTTTCGGAACCAATGCTCTTGACAAATCCTCATGCGCTAACAAGCTACTCTTTTGTTGTGTTGACATGCAGGTTCTCCAGTAGGTCCAAAAGAATAGCTTGTTAGCACGTGAGGGTTTGTCAAGCGCATTGGGTGTTTGGAGTGACACTGAGGTCGCTGATGCCTGAGCTCTACGGAGAAAACAACCTGCTGTGAAATTAACATTCGGACCAATTTTCATTTGGACTTCTGATGGACTGTGCGAGTACTGTAGGACTGGCCGCAGCTCTCCTAAATCTCAGTCAGAAGTCTGATCCTTTTAACTGGAGATGCCAAAGGACTGAACTGGGGACTTTCTGCAAGCCAAGCAGATGCTCTACTACTGAACCACAGCCAGTCCCTATCCCAAAACTTGAGTCCCAGGATAGCTGGTTCTTCCTGTTTCTAGTCGATATTGGCTGTGCAGCATGCAAATCGGCGGGACTTGACAATCACAAAACCCACATCTGCGCCTGGCTGTGCAAAGGATCGATTGCCCTGTATAAATCGGTATAAATGCCCCTGTATAAATCTATGGTGCAGCCTCATTTGGAATACAGTGTACAGTTCTGGTCACCGCACCTCAAAAAAGATATTTATAGCACTGGAAAAGGGGCCAGAAAGGGCAAATAGAATTATTAAGGGGGTTGAACACTTTCCCTATGAAGAGAGGTAAAAGAAGTTAGGGCTCTTTTAGCTTGGAGAAACAATGATTGAGGGTTGACACGACAGAGGTTTACAAACTATGCATGGGATAGAGATGGTAGAGAAAACAGTACTTTTCTCCCTTTCTCACAATACAAGAACTCGTGGACACTCAATGAAATTGATGAGCAGTAGATTTAGAACAGATAAAAGGAAGTACTTCTTAACTCAAAGAATAATTAACACATGGAATTCACTGCCACAGGAAGTGGTGGCAGCTACAAGCATGGATGGCTTCAAGAGGGAATTGGATAAACATATGGAGCAGAGGTCCACCAATGGCAATTAGCCACAAGATATAGATGGAACACTATGACTAGAGTAGTGATGCACTGTATTCTTGGTGCTTGGGGGGCCGCAATGGGAGGGTTTCTGGAGTTCTGGCCCCACTGGTGGACCTGCTGATGACACCTTGGTTTGGCCACTGTATGACAGAGACTGTTGGACTGGATGAGCTATTGGCCTGATCCAACATGGCTTCTGTTACGTTCCTAGGACTGCTTATACCACAAGATGATGACAAAGGCATTCCCTCTCCTAGTTTACCCTGAGGGATGTTTCCATTTAATTTTTTTTTTAATTAAGTGTTTAAAAGGAGGTTTCATAATGAGTATCTTTCAAGTGATCACCAATCAGGCACATGGGGTGGGGGAGGAGAGAAGGGTTTCTAGAAGGCATGGAAATATAAGAGAACACAAGAGAAGCCAACGTTGGATCAGGCCGATGGCCCATCCAGTCCAACACTCTGTCACACAGTGGCCAAAAATGCCAGGAGCCATCAGGAGGTCCGGCACACACTAAATAATCCACTTTCAATGCACTTTCGAATTGGATTTTTGGAAGTGCATTGGAAGTGGATTTAAAGTGGATTGTTTAGTGTGTGTGATTGCAGCCTAAGCTGTGTCAGGAGAAGAGTAAGGATCAGGTGAAGCAGAACGAGCCATGAAGCAAAGGAGACCTCTCCTGCTCCCCTGAAGTGGCATTGCTGTCTTCTCTTTAACATCAAAGCAATAGCGAGGCTCTTTCCAAAGCAAATGCTGGCTTTTTCTTCTTTTTAAATAGGAAAACCATTTGAAACCACTGCAATCATGAACGCTGCTGTTTCCAACATTATAGTATCCATATTACTTGGCAAGCGATTTGAGTACGAAGATCCCACTTTTGTGAGACTACTGAACTTGGTCAACGAAAATCTCCGGCTTTCCGGAAGTCCCTGCGTCACGGTAACCGAACCATTCAAAATTGGATAAACAATGGTTTGGAATTTTGCTACACACAGGCTGAGTTCAGACTGGCAGTTTGAAACAGGAGGGAGTCCGGGCAAAAAAAGAAAAAGCCGGAACAAACTGCTCTGGGTTTTCGCGTTCACACTGCAGCGACTGATGTGGGAGCATACCGGGAGGAGGTGCAAGGGAGCATTCACACTGTTGGCCCAGAGGCACGGCGGTAAGGCGCAGCTTTCTTTTTGGCAATCTAGAGATATACGCCTATGCGCATAAGCGCATAAGAAAATGCAGCTTTTGGCGTTCACACTTTGTTGGTGCGAGATGGATGCTACCACTTTCACCAGGTATCTTTTAAGCTCGGGAGCAAAGCGTTACAAGATGGGTTGAGTACGGGTGGAGAACGCTGGACACATGTGCCTGTGTGAACGGCCCCTTTAATCTGGTTGTGGAACATTTCTGAAATGTGCCTATATCGAGGCAAACTGCCAGGCTGAACTCGGCCACAGTACAGGCAGGACTATGTGAGTCTGACTTGCATTTGAAGGTTGCATTAAGCCAAAAAAAAAATTGTCTGATGGCCAGTGAAGAATTTGTTGTGTTGCAAAACTGATTCAAAAACGTTAGGGGGAAACTACACGGTACAGGCCTACCAGAACTCTTACACATCAGCACAGAAGCAGAATGTTGTATGTGGGATTCTTGACACCATCTTCAATTGTTAGACCCCATGGGGGCTCAGGCTAGGGATGCAATCCAGCAGCTGGCATGTGCAAGGACACTGGGGGCAGGGACATGGGGGCACTGTCATATTGATGCCATGATGTCATTTCCAGGGCAAACCCACGCCACTCTAGGATTCAGCAAAAACTCTATTCACCCCAGAAATTACATTGCACTACTGACACAATGGCGGTTTTTGCATTATTTCCTCCCCAGCTGGCCTATTGAGTGGTAGCGGGGTTGGGAGCTTCCAGCGGGAGGTTATCCGGCCACAGTGGAAGATATGGCAAGCCTAGCTCAGGGCCAGAACCTGGAGTCAGCCGCTTCGAGCCTTGTTCTGTACAGTGGCAAGAACTACTAGGCCAGTCTCCCCCGCACCACAGCTCCTACCTCGAGATCTCCAGGTGGGGAAGCATCAGGCCCGTAACCATGGGGGCATTTGGGGGCAATGCCCCCCCACAGATGAGTGCTACCCCATGGACAAAAAATTTAGAGAATTAATTTTTTTTAAAAAAATGTAAGACATGAATAGGGTTTCCAAAATGACTCTGGGCACAGTCAGGGAAGGTCCAGTCTCATTTTCCATTTTCTGGGCCAAAAATAAATAGTTTTGTAAAAAATGCAAAATAAAAAAAAATTGCAATAAAATAAAATAAAATTACAAAAGAGAGAGTTGGCGACACACACACCCTCCCCAGCTTTTACAGAAAAGCAGCTTGGAATCGAGTCTCTCCGATCGAAAGGACTAGGAGACTAGAAGAGGACTAGCAGTCACAGTGGAGCCAGAACTGCCTCTTCTGCTGTTGCAGAATTTCCCCACACCCCACCAAGCAAATTTTTCTGGCTATGCCCCTGTGAAGCATACCTTGGTTGGAAAGATCCTCTCAGAGTTTCTGGTATCAGCGGACTAAAGGATTCAGTAAGACCTGTGTGACCCCTAACACAACCTCTCTAAGACTGAGAGATGCAGGCTGAGTTCAGACTGGCAGTATGAAGCGTGAGGGAGGCGTGGCAAAAAGACCCGGAACAACTTTTCACCCCTTTTCACAACCCCACCCCTTTTCACCACACGATCTTCCTTGGACTTTAATAAAAATTCAACTGTGAGCGCTATAGCGCTAAACCGCTGTAGCGCTCCAGTGCATCTCAATGGACCACATTCAACTGTGAGCACTACAGCGCTAAACCGCTATAGCGCTCCAGTGCATCTCAATGGACCCGCTACAGCACTCACATTAGAATGCTAAAAAAAAGTCAGAGAAAGATTGCACAGCGAAAAGGGGCAGAAAAAGAAGCAGCACTGTTTGAAATGACCATAGCACTTCAGAGACAGCTTATTAATGGAAGGAAATTCACTATATGAAACCCCTGTTCCTGTACCACTTTACTTGAAATTGGGCCAACAATGAATAACATCCGGTTTAGAGTGGTGATGTGAAATGGGCCAAACTGTCTTACTTCCAGCCAGCTTCTGACTCATCCTATTTCACTCACAGACTCCATCCCATCTCTCTCTGCTTTAACTGTCCTAACTGTCCACTGTCAACTGTCAACCTCCCCTCCAACATTCCATCAGCTCTCATTGGCTGTCACAGTCTAGCTTGCAGACTCTGGACTCTTCTGATCTGCCCAATGAGAATGCTGAACAATTAGAGCTTTGTGGCTGGTTATTACTGAGTGTCCACGATCGATACCCAAATGCATTTTTTTCCATGGTTGAGTGACAGATCACAAGTTCCCGGACCAACATTTCTCCAGCCAGAGCCTTTGAGTATGAACGACTCATCTTGTGATCCGAACGCTGGGTTGAACATGACTCTTGACTGCAGACCTGGCTTCTTGCCCTCGCCGTGGGCTACCATGCAGATTCTGACACATTTCCTGTGGCTGATCACACTTTTGCCTCACCTCAAATGCTCCTCCCCCACCGGATCCTGACCCTGGTTTTGCTGTGCAAAAGACCCGCTAAAGACCCATTGCATACCCTCGACGCTCTCGGTATCTCTCAGCTGTCTCTTGACTCTGGACTCTTCTGGCCTGACCAACGAGAACACTGAACAATTAGAACTTTGTGGCTGGTTATGTTACTGAGTGTCCGCAATCAATACCTAAATGCATTTTTTTTCATGGTTGGTTGAGAGACAGTTAGATCACAAGTTCTGGGACCAACATATCTGTGGGACCACTTCCTCTGTTACACACCCGGAAGAGCATTACGCTCTTCACGGAATAACTTACTAGTGATCTCCAGTCCTGGAGAGATCTGTCTGTCCTCAACCAGGGTTACGGCTTTCTCGACCCTGGCCCCGACCTGGTGCAACTCTCTGCCAAATAGTGCTTTTCACTTTGGAGGAGGCTTGTAGCTCATCAAAAAATAATAATAAATAAATAAAAAATTTGCAGCGTTCATTGAAAAGAACTTTGGATTAAAACTTTGGTTTGTGGCAACCTTGTGCTGAAAATTATTGTTGAACTCCCTGAGGAAAATTCAGAAACAGAAGGATATCTGGACCTCTGTTGGAGGAAGACACGAGCACATGTTATAAAGAGACTTTAAAGAAGTCCTCCCTCTTGAAACTTTATTTAACAGAGGAGGACTATTATTAAAGGTTGTACAATAGCTTTTTGAGATTCTTGGAGATGATTTTTGATATTTTTGATTAAGATGATTTATTATATATGTACAAATTATTGTAAAAATATTTTTCAAAAAATATAAAATTATTTATATGTTATACTCATCTGTGCACGGTACTTGTTGTATGTTGGTTTTCCTATTTACCGGGGGTCCTTGTTTGGTTTTGTGAGGTGTTCGGCTGAGGACAGTGATGGTTGACATCATGGCTGGCACCCTACCCTACCTGAATCACCTATCCCTTGTGAAATTATTCTCTCCCCGTGCCCATGAAGCACTCACGGACCAGGAACGGAACTACAGAACACAAAATTCGCCACTGGTTTTAACTGTGTATAATATGTTGGATATGGTTTTATGCTTTTAATCGGTTTAAATTGGTGCGTTGCCTAGAGCCCCACATTTGTGGTCATTAGGCGACTCATAAATGTAATGAAATAAATAAAATAAACAAGTTCAAGCGTTGCATTCATGTCTAAAGCAGAAAGCAAGAAACCCCTAACCCCATGGAGTGTGTAGATCAGCTGAATGCCCGATCGCAGCTGAATGTTGGATCGCAGAACACAGCACCAAACTGAATGCCTGATACTACTGGGTCAACTCTCTGAGGAGAAGGAGCAAAGATATTTTAATTAAGAGCATTTTGAGATGTACTTGAGGCTCACCATTTAACCTTGGGGCTTTCTTAATCTTCTCCTTTCTCATATGAACAAAATTTGAGTCCAGTGGCACCTTTAAGACTAACAAAGTTTTATCCTTTCATGTGCATGCACACTTCTTGTTAGGGATGCTATAGGCTGATCCTGGATTGAGCAAAGGGTTGGACTAGATGGCCTGTATGGCCCCTTCCATCTCTGTGATTCTATGATTCTTCAGATATGTTCTCATATGTTATTCTTTTAGCTGTGCAACATGTTTCCTGCTCTGGGTTTTCTCTCTGGTGGTTACAAGACTGGCCAGAAGAACATGGATGAACTGCACGCCTTCATACAGGCCACCTTCATAGAATACCTGAAAAAACTGGATGTAAACGACCAGAGGAGCTTTATTGATGCTTTTCTAATCCGACAGCAAGAGGTAACAGAGTTTTAAAAATATGCTGATTATCATAGGCAAACTTTTAAAATTCATTCGTGTGTGGGAAGGTAAGACCTATGCTGCTAAGACTTGTAAGTGTATCGAGAGAGAATTTTCTTATTTTCTGTGTACTTGGCATTGCCATTGGAACTATATTGCTTAAAAAATATCTATATACTAATACCGAAGTCACCCCCTGGTGTGCGGATACCTAAATCCGCGCATCGGGGGCACCTGGGGGGGAGGGAGATTTTCGTGCACACTTGGGGCAGACCCCAGGTGTGCACAAAAATCTGAAACTCTGAAAAAAATATCAGGGGGATACTTAAATCCCCCCAAAAGTAACAGAGCGTCCCCTGCGCATGCGCAGGGAACGCTCTGCAGACTGTCTCGCCACTGCTGCTTCGGAGCGGAGGGGAGAGACCAGCGATGCCCGAGTGGCTTGCAGCCACCGGGCCTCGCTTCAGAGCCAAGGGGGGGGGAGACCGGCGAGGCCTGGTGGCTGCAAGCCACTCCGGCTTCACCCCCTGAGCTGGGGGTCATGGTGGTGGTGGAGGGAGGTGGTGGAGGAGACGTGGGGGGGAATTGGCGGGATGGGGGGAAGCTTACCTGCTGCTGCTGCTTCCTCCTCCGCCTGCTCTGCGTGGAGCTCCCCCGCCCCCCGCGAGTTTCACAGGACGCCTTTCTTGTATATCTAATTTCCAACATGCCCCCACAGCGGTGTATATATATATATATATATAACTTCATTAATAAAATTCTATTTTACTGTAAAGTGTGTTACTGCAAGTTGCCAGGCCAAACCCAGGGTAAACTTGGCTATGTTACCTCAGAGAGGCTCATACCAGGAAGCCAGTTTGGTGTAACAGTTAACAGTGGTGAACTCTAATCTGGGAGAACTGGGTTTGATTCCCCACTCCTCCACATGCAGCCAGCTGGGTGACCTTGGGCCAGTCATAGTTCTCTTAAGAGTTGTTCTCTCAGAGCTTTTTCAGCCCTACCTACCTCACAGGGTGTCTATTGTGGGAAGAGGAAGAGAAGGAGATTGTAAGACACTCTGAGTGAAGGGCGAGGTATAAATCCAGCTCCTCCTCCTCCTCCTTCTTTTTATCATTAACTTTTTATTAATTTTTTTAAACAAATGAATAATACAAGCATCGTAAAATACACAACCAACTGATATATAAACTCTTACAGAGTAAGAGGTATAGCCAGATAAACTAATTACTGGTTCTGAAGGAAAGGAGAAGCAGACTTGTGCGTTGTCAACATATTGAGGCCAGATCGTTGGACAACCTCACTCAGCGGTTTCATGCTGATATTAAACAGCATTAAAGACAAGATAAAAGCTCGTGAGACCCCGTAGCACAAAAGTACCAAGCAGTTGTTTTCCGGTACTGCTTTCTCATCCGAGACAGAATTGTAACCATTGGAGTGCCAATAAAAGGGCTTTCTTTTTTGTGGTGCTGAAACTTTGGAATTCCCTCCCCACGGAGGTTTGTCTGTCTCCCTCTGACACTGAGTCCGATCAGACAGCTCTTTAGAACCGCGCGAGGCACGAGTGCCTCATGGATTTAAATGTAATGTCCAGACATCAACATCTGGGAAACGTCCGTCTTCCGTGAGCACCCCGTTTTGCCGCGCTTCGGAGCCGTACTCAAAAGGTACTCGTTAAAAACTGGAGTTTTCAGTTCCGATGGGCCAATCGCAGACTTCCCCCCTGTCTGATCGTTCCAGCACGCAATTTTAAAAAATGGTGCCCGTTCGGGATGGTCTGACGTCAGACCATCCTGAACGGGCACCATTTTTTAAAAATCTTGATTCTGTGCATGGGCGGATAAACAAGGCCACGATATCACACCTATGTGCATGCACAAACCTTTGGTTGTTTTTTTTAAAAAAGCCACCGCACACGCCTCATTCAGTGGATGCCGTCTAGACAATCCACAGTGGAGGCAGCGCGTGGTGAGACGATTCACTGGGAGGGCTGTCTGGTCATGGAACGACGGATTAAAAAGATCAGGATCAAATTAAAAAAGGAAAGGTAAAGATTCCCTTCCTCGAAAGCCAGTCGAATCTGACTCTAGGGTTGCAGTGCTCATCTCTGTTTCAAAGCCGAAGAGCCAGCGCTGTCTGAAGACGTTTCCGTGGTCATGTGTCCGGCATGACTAAACACCAAGGCGCACGGAACGCTGTTACCTTCCCACTGAATTGGTACCTATTTATCTGCTTGCAATTTCTTGCTTTCGAAGTGCTAGAGCTGGGCTAATGGCGAGATTAGCTTCCCGTCTGAACGCACCCATTGTCTTCTGTCAGTGGGTGACATACCTTTTTGTTTGGTTTGGTGTATCGCCAGTGAACTCTTACTGGCCCTCCTCCCTGCTTATGTCTGTGCATTGCTTGCACGTTTTACGGTATTGCTAAATATATATACATTTTAAATGTATATTTGAACTTTATAAAATAATGTCACAGTAGATTGACCTAAAGAACAAACAAATTTTTGTTTAAAGCTGTACAAAATTTGCTACAAGTAATCACAAAATGGCTGCCACGGTTGGTTTCAGTTCTCTCTGGGGGTTCTTTGATCTTATTGCCACTCAGTCGCAGAAAACTTTCTTCCTTTTTTGAAGGTGTATGAATAGGGTTGCCAGCGTCCAGGTGGGGCCTGGGGAACTCCTGCTTTTACAACTGATCCCCAGCTGACAGAGATCAGCTCCCCTGGAGAAAATGGCTGCCTTGAAGGGTGGACTCTGTGGCATTGTACCGTGCTGGGGCCCCTCCCCTCCCCAAACCCCGCCCTCTCCCGGATCCACCCCCAAAGACTCCAGTTAGTTTCCAACCCAGACCTGGCAACCCTATGAAGGAAAGATTTGGAAAAGTCTCCTTTCAGAAGCCAAACTGGTTTAAAGAGCCCTATGAAAAAGGCCTCTCAGCACTTTCTATCGATGTTGTTTGAGAAAAGTAGACAAATATAAATTTGATGAAGTAATCTGTATGTGATCTGTCTATAAAGATGGAATAAAAAAGACCTATTTTGATATGCACACATTATTTATTTTACTCGTGCTAATCATTTAGTTTAAATCATTTCTTCTTATCTCCTAGGAGAAGAATAAGAATCGGAGCAATGAATTTTTCCATAATAAAAACCTAAGGAGTGTTGTGGGTAATTTATTTAGTGCTGGCACAGAGACCACTTCGACTACCTTGCGATGGGGCCTGTTGCTGATGATGAAGTATCCTGAAATTCAGAGTGAGTGCTTTCCATTAGGTAGTTTCCATTATTCTAGGAAATTTGGATTCCAGTTACATTTTGTGGTGGAAATGTAAAGAACGTTCAGGTTGCCTTGGGATGCTACCTGGATGAGTGAGAACAGGAAGCACCAGTGAGTTATACTTCCTGTTTTCCCCAGCTGGTATAATACTTAAAGCAGAAGGGGTTGCGAACTGCTTGAATTCTTCTAGGGCTGCCAAATCCCCCCGAGGGGCAGATTTCCCCCCACTTTGGAGGCTCGATTTCCGCCCCCGCGGAATCGGGCCCCGGGGAAAACCCCATGTCACCCGGATGTGACGTCATGACGCCGGGCACGCTGCGGGTGGGGCCACAGCCATTTGAGAGGAAAACTCAATTTGAGGGGCGGGGCCACAACTCATTTGAGGGGCGGGTCCACTGAGCTCAAGACACAGAATGGGAGCCCCCCGCTGCCAGGTAAAAACAATTTGGCAACCCTAAATTCTTCACATTTTCAGTCTCTGGAGCTTGCACACCTCCCTCACTAAGTTTACTTGCCATGCTGTGGTGCTGCTCAGTACATCGACCCATCGTTAAATGATGGAAGACTCTTGCCGCATTGTTTTTGTACATGTAATAACATTTTCCGAACGGATTAATCTTATTGTTTTGGTGCAGAGGTTAGAGTATCTGAATAGGATCTGGGAGTCCTATTACGCTGTGTAATCCACCTTGAGTCTCAGTAAGAAGAAGAAGAATTGATTTATACCCCATCCTTCACTCAGAGTCTCAGAGCGGCTTGCAGTCTATTTCCCCTCCTCTCCTCACAATAGACACCCTGTGAGGTAGGTGGGGCTGAGAGAGCTCTGAGGAGTTCCGCAGGGCCGGCAAGATGGAGCTCTTCTGCCAAGCTTTCATATAGGGGCCGCCACTACCACTACCACCAATAGTGGGGACAACAACGGGGTTAGGGGCAGTCCCCGGAATAATCTTGCATGGCACTGACACCGCTGGACTGGCCTTGGACCATCTACAGGACAATATCACCCCCAAGGAAATGACTGATACCATCATGAAATTATTCGGAGACCATCTTGTTTGCATGGAGCACTTTATTCTTGTTTTTGTTGTTATTTAATGGTTTTATTGTTTTGTTTTGTTTTTATGCATGGGCCTGTGCCCTCTTGTAAGCCACCCTGAGCCCACTTGCGGGGAGGGCGGGGTAAAAATGTTAAAAATAAATAAATAAATAAACTGCTCTTGAGAGAACCGCTCAAACTCTGAGAGAGCTGTGGCTTGCCCAAGGTCACCCAGCAGCTACATATGGATGAGCAGGGAATCAAACCCGGTTTCTCCCAGATTAGAGTTCACACTCCTACCCACTGCACCCAACTCGCTCTGAATGAGGGAGAACAGGAAATTTCAGCAGTATACCAGCTTTGGGGGGGGGGCAAACAGGTAGTATAACTCACCAGTGCTTCCTGTTCTCCCTCATTCAGGTAGTAAGAAAGACAAACAGTCTTCTCATTCAACGTAAAATGAAGAACATGGTTCTTCCATGGTTTAAAAATGGTAAAAATCAAAGTCAAGCCTAACCATAGACATTGGCTTATATCCAACAAGATCAACTAACTCCCCTTCCCACAGTAGTCCACTAAGCCCCCTCCAGTGTTGGTCCTGAAAGTCAGCAGACCCTCACAACCAGGGTTCATTTCCTGTGGGAGCACACAGGACTGGAGCTCTGGCAGTAAGGAGCCCAGGGGACGGGCAAATGCAAGAAGCCACACCCCCTGCTCCCAGCAGCCCTCAGTCGGACCATGAGGAGCAAGAAGCAGCCAGGTAAGTTGCAGAGCCCCCCCCGGCATATGCAAATAAATTATGCTAATGAGTTATGCTAATTATTGTCTTTTGCGGTGAGTTTTCTCTTCTTGTGATGTGATCAAAGTACGAGAGCTTCAGTTTAGTTGTTTTGGCTTCTAGGGAAAATTCAGACTTGATTTGATTAAGAACCTACTTATTTGTCTTTTTGGCAGTCCACGGTATCTGTAAAACTCTCCTCCGACACCACGTTTCAAGTTTATTGACTTCCGTCCTATCGGCTTTCTTCACCGTCCAACTCTCACATCCATACATAGTAGCGGGGAATATTATTGTGTGAATTAAGAAATGTTTCATCTTCCCAGATAAGGTCCAAGAAGAAATCACAACAGTGATTGGGTCTGCCCAGCCTCAGATTGAACACCGATCAAAAATGCCGTATACCGATGCGGTAATCCATGAAGTTCAGAGGTTTGCTAACATTGTACCTATGAATCTGCCACATGCCACCACTGCGGACGTCACTCTGAAAGGCTATTTCATTCCAAAGGTGATCAGTCTTATTTAACTCCATTAATTTTACAGGCTTAGGTCATAAGAGCTTAAGAACATAAGAGAAGCTGATGTTGGATCAGGCCAATGGCCAATCCAGTCCAACACTCTGTCACACAGTGACCAAAAATACCAGCTTCCTTCTTCTCTGTACCCTGCATTGAGAAGAGGTTGAGACCATGGGAAGGTTGGGGGTCAGGTCCTTTCTTCAGAGCCATTTAGCCTCCCAGTCCACAACTGTTGAGGAGTGCGGCACCATAGTCCGAGCAGTGTGAGTAGGGGCAGCTCCTCATGGCACAAGTGGGAATACGGAAGGCATAAGAACATAAGAGAAGCCATGCTGGATCAGGCCAGTGGCTCATCCAGTTTGTGTCACACAGTGGCCAAAATCCAGGTGTCATTAGCAGATCCACTAGTGTGGTCAGAACTCCAGAAGCCCTCCCACTGTGGCCTCCAAGCACCAAGGATACAGCTCATCACTGCCCCAGACATAATGTTCCATCTATACCTTATGGCTAATAACCACTGATGGACCTCTGCTCCGTGTGTTTATCCAATCCCTTCTTAAAGCTGTCTGTGCTTGTAGCTGCCACCACTTCCTGTGGCAGTGAATTCCATGTGTTAATTATTCTTTGGGTGAAGAAGTACTTCTTTTTATCTGTTCTAAATCTACTGCTCATTAATTTCCTTGGGTGCCCATGAATTCTTGTACTGTGAGAAAGGGAGAAAAGTGCTTCTTTCTCTCCCTTCTCTATCCCACGCATAGTTTTGTAAACCTCTATCATGGCACCCCTCAGTCACAGTTTCTCCAAGCTAAAGTGTTCCATCCCCTTAATCATTTTAGTTGCACTTTTTGCAATGGTATAATATCTTTTTTGAGGTGTGCCGACCAGAACTATACACAGTATTCCAAATGAGGCCTCACCATCGATTTATACAAGGGAATTATGTCCGTGTTCCCTCTAAGCTGAGTTAGTGTGAGCTAGCTCACAGTTTTTTAGCCTCCCACACATTTTTGTCTTAGCTAAGGAAGGACGGCTCCAGAGCAAACTAATTTATGCAGTAGCCAAATCACTCGCTCACAGCTTTAATACCAGTCACTCACAAAGTAGAATTTTTGCTCATATGATTCCACAGCTTAGAGGGATCATTGATTATGATACTAGCTGATTTGTTTTCTGTTCCCTTCCTAATAATCCCCAGCATAGCATTTGCCTTTTTTATTACAGTCACACTGTGAATCGACATTTTCAGTGAGTTATCTACCATGACTCCAAGATTTCTCACCTGGTCAGTTACCATCAGTTTGGACCCCATCAATGTGTATTTATAGTTGAGATTTTTGGCTCCAACGTGCATTAATGTTCACTTGCCCACGTTGAACCTCATTTGCTACGTTGATGCCCACTCGTCCCGCCTCAACCGATCCCTCTTGGGTGCCCTGCAGTCCTCTCTGGTTTTCAGCACCCTGAACAACTTAGTGTAATATGCAAATTTAGCCACTTCAGCGCTTACTCGCAACTCCAAATCATTAAGAAACAAGTTAGAAAGCACCAGACCTAGTACTGATCCCTGCAGTACCCCCACTGCTTACCACCTTCCACTGTGAAAAGTGCCCATTTATACTCACTCTCTGTTTCCTGTTAATTAACCAGTTTTATTCCACGAGAGGACTTGTACTCTTATGCCATGACTACTGAGTTTACTTAGGAGCAGGGATGGGCACAACCTGAAAAAATGGAGGTTTGTGGAGGTTCATGTTTCAAGGTGTTTCATGAACCAAGATCTTCTACAAATTTCTCCATTGCACAAACCAGTTGGTGCTTTGGAAATTCGTCCCACCTCCATCTGAAAGTGAGTTCCCAAGGCATTTAAATGCCCTTGGAGCCCACCACAACTGACCCAAGTGAGGTCCATTTCCGGGTCAGGCTGCCCAACCAGAAGCAAACCCCAAAGGCATTTAAATGCTGTCTGAAACCACCACCATCCCGACCCGAGTAAGCTCCAAAAAGTCAGGTCACGGGACAGTGGTGGGCTCTCACAGCATTTAAATGCCTTTGGAGCTCACTCCCGAACCCACCCACAAACCTCCATGAAAACATGGAGGTTTGTGGGTAGGTTCGTGGGATGAAGTGGTCTCTCGAACCCCTGGTTCGTGCTTTGCAAACTGGCCTGGTTCACGCTGAATCGGTTCGTGCCCATTTCTACTTACGAGCTTTTGAGGAGGAACTTTATCAAAAGCTTTCTGGAAGTCTAGCTAAAGAATATCTATTGGGTCACCCTTGTCCACTTCCTTGTTCACCCCCTCAAAGAACTCTAAAAGGTTAATCATTGGACTAGGCACCCAAAAGGCTTGGGCTGGCTCTGTATAATTCATTATGTCGGATGGCATGTAGTCCATCTTCATCTTCCTCACTAATGCATCACTTTGACTTTGCAGGGAACCCATATTGTCCCACTACTGTACTCAGTGCTGTGCGATGAATCACAATGGGAGAAACCATATCACTTCTATCCTCAGCACTTCCTTGATTCCGAAGAAAAGTTTGTCAAGAAGGATGCTTTCCTGCCTTTCTCCGCAGGTAATTCCTCTTAGATTGATCACTGTGGGCTTAATGAATAGATCAGGTACCCAAGTCCACTGACTTGGAAGAACACCATCCCAGCTGGGCATTTGGCACTTATTCTTTCAAGACTACCATTGTTCTTTAGTATTGTTAATGACTGTGTTGCTATGCACTTCAATCCATCTTCCTATTTAAGTTAAATAAACGGGGCTTCCCTTTCCTGTCTATATTGTCACAGGTCGGCGAGTGTGTGCTGGAGAGACCCTGGCCAGAATGGAGCTCTTCCTCTTCTTTACGAGTCTCCTGCAGAGATTCACCTTCCAGCCAGCCCCTGGGATGTCTAAAGAAGACCTGGACCTCACCCCTGCAGTTGGGCTCACGACACCTCCGATGGCCTTCGATTTGTGTGCTTTGCCACGTTCTTAACAACCAACCATGGGTAGCGCCCCTGTGCACACCACCCTCCAATTCTGCACCTTTTTGCCTGAATATTTCAGACTTAGTGGAACTATACTGTGCTTTGTCTCAAAAATTACCACTTCATATGCCTTATCTGTCAAAACCTCCCTAAGCTAGTTCAGAGACATAATTGAGTTCAAAATTTGGACGTATGTCTTCCCCCCACCCCACAATTGTATTATTTGGATATATTAGCAAACAACATTACATTTTGTATACTTTCATTTCTCCCCCCCCCCATATATCCCTTTCTTCCCCTCCTTCCCCCCTTTTTCATGGCCTCCCGCAATGCTCCACCCTCTTGTATAATCCAGTATAAACTTTATAAACATTCTTCACTATTACAATTTCATATCTGCAAATCTAGGTAACCTTATCAATTAATATTGCAACTTAGTTACTTATCTTCGTTTTCCGTAACTATCGAAACAAAACAAATTACTTTTCATGTCATTTCTTTTTCAATATCTATCAAAACAAAGCAAGTTACTTTTCACATCCCAATTATTTTCCATATATTCTTTAAAGTCTTTCCAGTCCTCAAAAAAAAATTTGGACGTATGTCTTGAGTCGTTTGCTGTATAGAGAAAAAACAACAACAAACTTTCCCTGTCTGCTGGTTTCTTGTGTTCACACATTACAAATGCCTTCGACTCACCAAGACAACAAAATTGGGGTAGAGTAATATCCACTTCTAAGTGAGATCCATCCAACAGTACCAGCTGTGTAGACAAAACAGATATATTTAATTACTGCTGTGGTTTGGACATCAGTCCAGCTTCACAGCTACATCAAGCCTCTGGGTTTGCTTACCTGCTCCACAAACTCTGGAACTTGTGTGAGCAGTTATACTGCCCTAAGTCTGAGAAACAGAGACCTCAAGTTCCTTGAATGAGAAAGCAAACCCAGCAGACTTATTTGTGAAACATTTTTTTGGGTTGAGAAAGGGATGCTGAGAATTAGAGATACTGGCTTGGATCCAATGGGACGCTTCTACGGGCAAAAGGATTTCCTCCCACAGAACATGACTTGCATTAGTAGACAAGAAAGGCACAGACTGATTCTGCACCCATCTCTTTCCTCGCAGTTTTTCCATAGCCACGTTGGGAGGTTAATCTCCCTCTACACTGCATGCCGCGTTCACTTTCTTTGTTCGTCGGGTTTTATGGTACCTTCTGCATAGAGTTATGGTCCTTCAGGGGCGACTTCACAGTCAGTATGGCATTTCCCTGGGGTATCTGAATGTGGTTTTTAGCTGCACCTTTTCCTTCCTCCACTTCCTATTCGAAGCAGACAACTTGACACGGCCTTATTGATCTCCATCAGTTCCCCCCCCCATTTCTCCCACTGTATTTATCACCTTGCCATGAATTACTTGGCTCAGGTGGCTAATGACCGCTGAGGCAAGTACTGACACAGGAAACTCTGCATAACGATGCAGCAGGACTGAGCATTGAAAACAAAATAGATGGCAAGCTGATGCTAGCCAATGCAGAAACCAGGATCCAAGGCAGTGCAATGCAAACAGATATTCCGGGGCAAGGGGGAACCAGGTCGAGTGCTGATAAAATGTGGAGTGAATGTCAGATGCAGAATGGACCAAAGTCAGTGGGCAGAAATCACTGGATCCTATTGTATTCCAGCCACGGACTTGTACCATTCTAGTCAGGCCCATTTCAGGCCTTTTTTCTGGTGCAAGATATAAGGAAAAGCCTCTTTCAATGGAGGGAGGCTTCAGACTTGGCTGAGTGGAATGGTAAGAGACAAGCAAATCTTTTCTATAAATACCCGGTCCTGCTTTCTCATCGTTTTTTTTTTTAAAAAAATACTTTTTATTGAAAGTTTTTTTTAAAAAATAAAACCATTTAAAGAGGTTAAACAGTGAATGCAAATGCAAGATTGACATCAATACTAAAAACATTAAAAGATTAAGCAAAAATACAGAAACCATATTCCTACTGGGCTCACTATTAGGAAAGAAGGGAAGATCTGGTTCAAAAATGTGAAAATTGGTAGCACTTTTTTCCCCCTTTCCTTTTTTTTTTTTGAATGAGTTACATTTCTCATCGTTTTGACCTTCATTTATTGGTTTGGCTTGCAATCACCTTCCTGCTTAGGCACCAGCTCAGAGGGCAAATCTCTGTCTTTCATCTTCCTGTCTTTATCATATGGACATTAATGATCCTGACTATACACTTGCAATTAGAATTGTCAACCTCTGAGAACGTTGAAGCTGTTATTAATGTTAATCACAATAAAAATAATCCCCCAGTAAACGGCTTTGGCTTTGTTCCCTTGTGTTTCATTTAATACGAGTGAAATGGTCGCCATAGGTTTATGTGGGTACTATTGCCAGCCCTGTATTAACTTCTGGCAATAGTTCAGGACTTCCACTGACTCATCTACAAAGGAGAGAGTTGTACATCATCCGCACATCGGTGATGCTTCACTCTAAACCACCAGACAATCTCTTCCAAAACTTTTATGCATATTGTTGCAGGCAGCAGCTAGAAAGGTTCTCTAAGGACTGCCACCTGTTAAGTCCGGCGCTTAACAATAAGTCAGAGAGTGATTTCAGCAAACTCAGGTTTATTCAGCTCGATAATCGACTTCTCCAACACGGTACAACTCCTCATAGCCCGAACAGCTTTCCATTGCAGCTGCTCGGTATTTAAACATTCCGGGCTAATGTAGCCACACCTACTATACAAGTTCCAACCTATCAGGTTGTTCGCATAATAGCCCAATCACAAACGTTCCCACCACAGACCGTTCAAATATGATTGGACACAATACTTTCGGCGCAAATCCTAGCCGACGTCTGAAGCTTAGCATAGCTTCTCTATGGGATGATTCACACTTCATCCCCATGCATTCAGGGCAGCATCTGAATACACTACACCACCACTCTGGTATGGGTCTCCTCGGAAGGGCTCAGAGCACCCACCCTACCCCTTTTATACACTCCTTTTCCAGCAGGTTCCTCCTTATACATGACCAAATGAGGCAAGAGAACCCAAGCAGAGTAACAAACTATTTTTATTAAAGAGATTTAACAATAAGAAAGAAGTACTTTTCTCCCGTATGAGAGGCAAAATACTATCCCTGCAGGTCCCCCATATTTCATACCCTATTCACCAAACAGCAGTCCCCCAACATCTCCTTCTGAAACCAGATGTCCAAGTTAGAACAGAACTATCAGAGCACCCCTCTCAGTGGAATGCTCCAGAAGGACACCATGCCCAGTAGTAGAATCAATGGGTTCCACCTAACCACCATTTCTGTCCCAGCAAAGGTCATCCGTCAAGTCATCCAGGCTGCCTGTGTCCCAAAGCCAGGCTGAAAGCCAGACTAAAATACTGTACCTGACAAAGGGATCTTTGACTCTCGAAAGCGGAAACCCTGAAAATCTTGTTTTTCTCTAAGGTGCTACTGGACTTGAATATAGCTTGATTAAAATGCAGAAATCTGATCTACTTCTTCCAGGAACAGCTGGAGTTGTTCACCCACCTGGCAACCCTATTGAGGCCTTATATTTTGGATTTGGAACTCCCATTGACCCATGTCAAAATTAAAGATTCAGATTTGAAAGAAAGCACCAGAGCTAATGTCACACTACCCTGCGTGATTAATCATGATGCCCCCAATCAACCCAATATGGAGACCAGGGCTGCGATCACATACACTAAATACTTCACTTTCGATCCACTTTCAGTGCACTTACCAACTGGATTTTGCTGTGCGAACCAGCACAATCCAGTTGGAAAATGGATTGGAAGTGGATTATTTAGTGTGTGTGATCACAGGAGAGCTTTTCAATGGGCTCAGCTTGATAAGGGGTTGAATGTGGCTGCTAGAAGTGCTTCTCATCTACTTCATTTGTTATGTAGATTCCTTCCTGAACAGAGGAGACCTTGATATGCTGATCTCTATGATTTTATAACCACCAGCATTAACTACTATAATGAGTTCTGCATGGTGCTGCCCTTGAAGATCATTTGGAAGTTTCAGCCAGCTCAGAACGTAACTGCCCATCTCATTATAAATTTGGGGAGATATGTATTCTGCCTGTATTATATCAGATCCATTGGTTTAAAGGGCCAATTTAAAGTACTTGCTTTGAACTTCAGGGCTATTTTTGGGCAGGAACGCACAGGGACGGAGTTCTGGCTGGCTCCCAAGTTGGCCACGCCCAGCAGGAACTTATTAGCATAACAGGCCACACCCAACAGCAGGAACTCATTAGGATTGGCTACATTAGGGGTGTGTGGCCTAACATGCAAAGGAGTTCCTGCTACAAAAAAGCCCTGGGTTTTGACAACAAACAAGGTAAACAGAATAAGAAGCAAAAGGTGGGTGTGGCTGGATGACCACACTTCTGGTAACATGGGGGTGTGGCCTAATGTGCTAATGAGCTGTGCTGTCAGGGGTGTGGCCTAATATGCTAATATGTTTCTGCTGTTGGGTGTGGCCTATTATGCTAATGAGTTCCTGCTGGGCTTTTTCTACAAAAAGAGCCCTGTTGAACTTTATAAACGTTTCATGCCCTGGGACCAACACATATTTTAAATAATCCTCCACTAGTTCCAATTTTTTTTAAAAAAACCAGGGCCTACTTCATACCCAAACAGTGTACAAGATGAAAACTATGGCAGATAGATGAAGGGTCTTTACAGTGAGGGTGTGAATTGTCCTGCCCCTTGAGGTCTGGTGTTCCACTTCTTTTACTCAGGGTTCTGGTATGCCAGTTACAGGCCAATCACCATACGATTGATTTGACTGCAATAATAACATGCATTGAAAGGGGAAGGGGATGGACAAACTAATCTACTCAACTAATAACTAGTGTTTGGCCCTGTTCATACGAGGCGTTTTGGGCCGGGAGGGGGACGGAACAGGGGCGGAGCAAACGGGCACGATCCCACGGCAACATCCAGGAATCGTTGCCTGCCCGTCCCTGATCCGTCCCTACCGCCGAAAACGCGCACTAAAAAAGAACCACCTACCTAAGTGGTTGTATCCATTAGAGCACCACAAGCTGGGCTGTGGGATTGGCTGGCGCGTCTTTGCGCTGGTGCATCCCGGCCCCCTGCCATACTGCACATGCTCGAGCATGCGCAGTTCGGCAGCCTCCCCCTCCCATCCGACTCTTCCTCCCCGGCATCTGATCGTGCCGGGGAGCGACGTGCCGCGGCTCAGGGGATCCGTGCGATCCCGCCGCGGCATTCCAACTTTGGTGCGGCTCACATTAGCCGCAGATCAGCTGTCCTTTTCTCTGCCGTGTGGCAGGGACCTTTGTATATGTAATCAGCAGAAGCTTTCTGAAAGCACTGCATTTCAAGAGCCTCTTTGTGTGGACTTCATTGTTGTGTACCCTGCCCGCAAATACCTTTCCCCAGCCATTCCCGCCCATCACAGATCAATTTACATAATCCATACAAAAGCATACCATGATTTGCAAGTTAGTCAATTAACACAATGCAGAAACAAGCGAACGCCTTACAATCCCTGAAGGGATTGCAGTGAAGAATTAATAGCAATGAATAGTACCAACAGCAAAATATAGGCAAGGAGTTCAAGGAGAGGAGAATTCAGGCAGTTCTTAACATGCTTACGAAAATTTCGGTTGAGCAGTTGCCCATGAGGATTCGGCAAAGCTACTCTCAGAACTGGTAGAACTAACGAGACGAATCTGCCAGCCAATCCTGAGTGCTAGGTCATCAGAAAGGAGTCCAAAGAGTTAAAACCTGTTCAGCAAAGTTTCCTTCTAAGGAGCTAGATGCCACTCACCCACATAATAAGTAAAGGAAAGACTAAACCATTAAGGATGGATTATATAATTACAGCTAAGAAAGTGGAAGGGGAGGCAGAGGAGATTCTATTACATAGGATAGTAATCATTGATTTACTAGAGGTGTTAACAGGAGGCAAAGCGACTACTTATTCTGCCCCTTTCAGCTGACAGAGACTATCCTAGATCAAATTGTGTTTTATCACATTCGTCGGGATCACTTTAGACCATTTCTCAGGGCATGGATTTATTGGATCCTGTTTCCCTATTCTTGCTGTTTGTCCTTTCCTTGGCATTCTATTTGAAAAGGGGCAATTTCTGGAACACCAGCAAGCCAAATCTCCCACCAGGACCAAGGCCATGGCCCCTCATTGGAAATCTCCACCTCGTGGACCTCAAGAGACCTTACAGAACCATGTCCCAGGTAGACTTTTTTTGTTCTTTCTGTGCCACTCATGGGATTTGTGTGTTAGCTTGATCTTCCTGTGGGCCAGAGAGAACGCAAGTGGGCCCTCCCAAGGGAAGGCAGCTTTGGGTGAAATAAACATAGAAGTCATAGTTGCTTTGTCTTGCTTATTTAATTATTTGGGATTGCTGTGTTTGTATGTTTACTGCTACCTAGTGAGTGTCATGGAAGGAGGAGAGTAGATGGGCTCGCTGGCTGAAGAACAGGAGGTTAAACAGGTCTGTTTATAAGCTGCTCAGAAGCACCTGGTAGACCACTGTTGGACGGAGGCTTCTGCATCTCTCTGTTTAGTACAATAAATACCTTAACTTTTCCTTCCTCCCTTGGACTTCACTCATGTGTTCTTCATTGAGCCCGGGGACACGTGAGCCTCGATTTGCGGAAAAGGATGAATCCTTGATGTGGTCCTTGATCCAGTTCTAGTTCTTCTTTATGCTCTTTAATGTTCTCAGGAGACCCGAAAACTAGGGTCGGGACAGAAGGCACAAGCTCACAGACTGCTGCCAACCAATGCGCCCTCTAAGCTGTGGAGTCCTGTGAGCAAATATTCTACTTTGTGAGCTACTGGCATTAAAGTTCTGAGCGAGCGGTTTGGCTACTGCATGAATCAGTTTGCTCTGGAGCCATCCTTCCTGAGCTGAGACAAAAATGCGTGAGCCAGAGTCTAAAAAACTGTGAGCTATCTCACACTATTTATTTATTTATTTATCTATTTATCTATTTATTATATTTATAACCCACCCTCCCCGCAAGCGGGCTCAGCTTAGAGGGAACATTGCTGCCAACTAATGATAACTGCATTGCTGATCAATGGGGAGTATGAGAAATGATAAAACATTTTAGAAGATGTGCTGAGAGCTTGTTCTTCAGCAGGCATCATGATCCGAAGCAGGGGACAGCTGATTACTCAGGATTATCACCAGATAATTATTACAGTCCCAGAGGACTTCGGAGAGATGTGGAGTATATTGCCCAGCCTCTTCAAATGTTAGCAAAAGTCATTCTCCAGAACAGATGTGACACACGGATGTGACATTCTTAGCAGCACATACCTCACATGAATTCTCGGCACATTACTAACAAGCACTCAGAGGTACCGAACAGGTGTTTGGAGTCAGTAATCACCTGCCCCATTTGGGGAGGAAAGAGTTAAAAGATTCAGCACACCATGCTCAAATTGCTCAAGCTGAACAATGAGGAATGGAAAACAGGACCGTGAAACCGCAGGGAAAATCGGGTGAAGCCGTGGGTCAAAATGCAGCCATGCGGCTTCGAGTGGGAAATTGACCAATAGAACTGGGGCAAAGGGAGGCGCGACCGAGGCGCAGCTCTTGTGTGAAATCGGTCTGTGAGAAGTCTTTATCTTCTTCTATTTTATAAGTTCCAGCAATATTGTGCCCATTTGTCAAGGAGCAATGCTGAGGTAATATCAATGGACAGAGAAAGCAATTAGTGCTTGTGTACAGTTCTGGTCACCACACCTAAAAAAGGATATTATAGCATTGGAAAAAGTGCAGAAAAGGGAACTAGAAGGGTAAAAGGGTTGGAACACTTTCCCTATGAAGAAAGGTTAAAGCGCTTAGGGCTCTTTAGCTTGGAGAAACGACGGCTGAGGGGTGACATGATTGAGGTTTACAAGATTATGCATGGGATAGAGCAGGTTGAGAAAGAAGTCCTTTTCTCCCTTTCTCACAATATAAGAAGTCGTGGGAACTCAATGAAATTGCTGAGCGGTCGGGTTAGAACGGATAAAAGGAAGTACTCCTTCACCCAAAGAGTGATTAACACATGGAATTCACTGCCACAGGAGGTGGCGGCGGCTACTAGAATGGACAGCTTCAAGAGGGAATTAGATAAACATATGGAGCAGAGGTCCATCAGTGGCTATTAGCCATATTAGGAACTCTTGGTCTGGGGCAAGTGATGCACTGTATTCTTGGTGCTTGGGGGGGCAACAGTGCGAGGGCTTTAGTGTCCTGGCCCCACTGCTGGACCTCCTGATGGCCCCTGGTATTTTTGGCCACTGTGTGACACAGAGTGTTGGACTACATGGGCCATTGGCCTGATCCAACATTGGCTTCTCTTATGATCTTATGTTTTTGTTTTTGGTTCTTATGCACATTTGCACACAGCGAATAATGCACTTTCTATCCATTGGACAAAGTAGCTGACTTCATGTAACATCCAGAGACATATTCAGGCTTCTCTAATTTATTGGACAAATGGTCCCCATTTTGTTCCTTCTAAAAGTTATTTTGTTAATTCAAGTTATTATGATTTTATGGCTCATTTGTAATGTCATAGTTATGGATATAGCTTGTCATGGTCTTATATCTTTTTAAAGTGATTGCTTCTCGGTTCCAAGATATACAATTCATGGAAGAGCATTACTTTGTATATGACTACATATGATATTATTTGACTTGATTGTACTATTAATGATTTGTTTTATATTGAGGTTGTTAAGTTTATTGTATATTGGTTATTGCTTTAAAATTCAATAAAAACATTTTTTTTAAATAATGCACTTCCCATCCACTTTCAGTTCACTGTAGCGGTTGTTGTTGTTTTTTTCCTTCTAAAGATCTTAGACCATGCCCATGTAACTGACTCACCGGCCTGCCTGTTTGTTCACACTTGGATTTCAAACTGTGTGTCCAGCAAGAGGATTTAGTTGGGGGCCCGGAGGAGAGGGATAATTTACTCCATGGGCACACATGCATGCAACACCCCACTTTCACTGAGCCAGTCCATGGAAGGGAGTTTTTTTTGGTGGGGAGGGAAGGCAAGTCCAGATGGTGGCAGCAAATTTTAAAGGACAATGGGAGTTGAGGGGGGTAGGATGCCCTGCACATGGGGTCCAACCCATCCATGGACACTGGTCATCCAGCCTCTTGGGGGCTTTCAGCCTAGGAAGGAGACCAGGAGGAGAGGAGAAAGGGATACTGGGTACTTTATGGACTGTCACCTCCTATATGAACCTGGTCTGCCTGATTATTAAGATTTATCTGAAGGGCTGCCAGCCTATAGAGGGGACTACTGACAAAAGACCAGAAACCCGTGAGTATAATAACCAAGAATGTGTAAAAATAACTTGTAAACATTTATCAAATGTTCTAATCTGAATGAAGACGATTATGCAAAATTTATCTGGTGTCAGTTCACTATTGAAAACACCTCCAAGTCCCAACAAATTTCCTATCTCAGTGAAGCAATAAGTTCCCATGTTGATGGAGACAAGGTAATCCTGCTAATGGGGCACCGGTAATATCTTGTTTCCACAGTTCTTCTTCAGGAACAGGTCCCACAACCAAACATAATTAATCCATATTGCATTTAATCTTCCTGCTTCCTAGTTTCTTTGAACATTTTGGAGCTGTTTTATCAGACCAAACTAGGAAGCAGGAAGGTTGGACATCGGACCTTATTGCTTCACTAAGAAGGATGGACTCAATAAGAAATTTGTTGGGACTGGGAGATGTTTTCAATATTGAACTGACACCAGAGATGTATTAGGTATAATACAGATTGGTTGTTCAGTCACACAGTCGAGTCTGACTCTGCGACCCCATGGACCAGATCACGCCAGGCCCTCCTGTCTTCCGCCGTCCTCTGAAGTTTGCTTAATTTCAAGTTGGTTGCCTCGATGACACTGTCCAACCATCTCATCCTTTGCCGTCCTCGTCTTCTTTGACCTTCAATCTTTCCCAGCATCAGGGTCTTCTCCAGTGAGTGCTCCCTTCTCATTTGGTGGCCAAAGTATTTGAGCTTCAGTTTCATTATCTGGCCTTCCAGGGAACAGTCAGGGTTGATTTCTTTTAGGATTGACTGATTTGATCTCCTTGCAGTCCAGGGGACTCTCAAGAGTCTTCTCCGGCACCATAATTCAAAATTGGAACATGTGATAAACATTTACAAGTTATTTTTATACATTCTTCATTATTATATTTATGGGTTTCTGGTCTTTTGTTAGTTTTTCCGTACTGTGAATCCCCAGTTTTTGCTTTGAAACCTTTCGGTGGGGTCTGGAGAGCTCCGAGAATTACAACTGATCCCCAGACAGCACAGATCAGTTCCCCGAGAGAAAATGGCTGCTTTGGAAGGTGGGCTGCTTTGGAGGGAGCTGAAGTCCCTCCCCTGCCCAAACCCCACCCTCCCCAGGCCCCACCCCCCAATTCCCAAGAATTTCCCAGCCGTGACTCGGAAAGCTTACAGAGGCCCCGGTCACACGAAAGGTTTTGGGCCGGGAGAGGGACGGATCGGGGGCGCAGCAAATGGGCGCGATCCCACCGCAACATCTGGGAAACGTTGCACACCCGTCCCCGATCCGGCCCTTCCGGCCAAAAACCCGCATCTAAATTAAACTACCTCCTGAGGAGGTCGTACCTGAATGGCCATGGCAAGCGCGGCCGTGGGATCGCCGGTGCATCCTTCTGCCGGCGCATCCCTGGCTCCTGGCCCAACTGCCCATGCGCATGCATGCACAGCCGGCTGCCTCGGTCTCCCAACCATGGCTTCCTCCCCAGCATCTGATCATGCCGGGAAGCAACGGCACCACAGCTCATGGGATCTGTGGGATCCCGCCACAGCGTGTCCCCCCCTCCCCTTTTGGCAGGGGCCTTAGAAGCCTTGTTGTATGTGCTGATGATGTGATTGGCCACAAAATGCAGTGGTACCATCTCAGATATGGGTACACCTCTGCCTGGCTCTTTTTTGTCAAATGCCAGGTGCCAGTTTTAAACATATCTGTTTACCCAGGCTTATTGTCTTTAAATTCGTACTTAACTGGTGTTTTTCTATGTTCCTGAAGAATTTATCTATCTTTTCCACTTTTCAGTTATCGAGGCAGTATGGTCCTGTCTTCAGCATCCAAATGGGATCCCAGAACATGGTTGTTCTGACGGGCTACGAGACTGTAAAGGAGGCTTTGGTGAACCAGGCAGATGCCTTTGCAGAGAGGCCCATGGTCCCAATGTTTGAAGACTTTGCAAAAGGCTATGGTGAGGACATCTTTGGAATAATAGGCAGTCTTGCTTACCTATGTTTATCCTAGGAGATAAAGCAAAGTATGGTTTTCCCGTCTAACTCTACAGATTAGGCAGGCTTAATCTACAGCTTGAAAGTAGTCTGCCAACTATACAACCCTTATGTATAGATCTTCAGGCATTGGAAGGTTAGAAAGTTTATCACCACGTGTGAAAACATTCACCAGTTGATTTCTGCAGATCAAGCCACTGTTAAGGGAGTAGGCTAAATGGTCACGTGACAGCGCCGCAGCGGGTGTGGTCCCACACCCATGTTGTCACCAATAACACTCCCATTGGTTGCCAGGATGGATTAAAAAGGACAAGTGGTGTGTGGGAGAAGGGAGGATTAGGGAAGTGGTAAGTAAAGGAACGGTGGCAATAGAGAATTGTGGAAAGTTATTAGGAAGGTAGAACCTAGTCAGAAAGGTGTTTGGAGTGTCACTGAGGAATATGAAAACAGAGGCAAAGGTTGTGGTTCGAGGAGGAGGAGAAGAAGAGTTGGATTTATACCCTGCCCTTCATTTGGAGTCTCAGAGCAGCTGACAATCACCTCCCCTTCCTCTCCCCACAACAGACACCCTGTGAGGTAAGTGGGGCTGAGAGAGCTCTGAGAGAGCTGCTCTTGAGAGAACAGCTCTGAGAGAACTGTGACTGGTTGTATGTGGAAGAGTGGGGAAACAAACCCGGTTCTCCAGATTAGACTCCACTGCTCCTAACCACTGCACCAAACTGGCTCGATTAGGCCTATGAGCCTTAGGTGGTAGATCTGGAGGTGGCATCTTCCCATTCTACTGGCCTACCTGTTATATGCCTGCCTCCTTGACCTTGATCTTATTCCCCAGTCTTCTGCTACTACTCTGCCCAGGAGCCATTGTTTATCCTCAACACTCTCCTAAGCCTCTTAAAAAACAGTACAGCACACTGTGTATGCCCTGTAGGGCTTCCCATCCTCTTGTACGAGTTCAGCCATTATTTCTGGTTCTCTGCAGAGAAAAAAGAATGTCAGGAGGGTTCAGAAAGTTCTGTAGTGTACGTGCAGTTTACAAACACAGCTGGGGAGAGGGCAAGGAAGATTAGCTGTCCCACCTCCTGGTTGGAGGCAGAGGTCATGGAAGGAGGAAGAGCAGTGGTGTTGGAGACAGCAAGGTAGAAGTGGTGGCAGCGTTGAGCGTCCTCAGGCAACGCTATGGATGGAGCTGTCAATGTGGCTCTTGATCACATGAAGACCTTTGGCACTCTCCCACATAAAGTCGGGGATGCAGCAAAGGGTGGCAAAACTTCATCCTGGCTTTTTTACTTAGTGGAGGGGGACTCTTGATCCTCGACCCTTAATTATATTCAGGGAATTGCCAAAGGGGGGCGAAAATAAAATGGCACAAATGAAGCTAAGTGTTACAGTGGGGGAAAGCCTGCCCATCCTTTCTGCCATATTGAGGTGGATCCTGCCCCTGCCCTCCTACTCCACAGAACAAAGTTTGAAGCTTTCCTTCTGAGGAACTTTCCTCCAACTTTAGTGTCTCTTCCTCTGGAGCAACAGCCACCTGAGTTGGACAAAGCTTCCTTAGTCTGGAGGAAGACTCCTTGGAGGAGGGTTGGATCCACTCCATTCTGCAGCCCATCTTTCACTGTGGGTGCACAAAGGAGCACACCATGTGTATCAGTAAACAGATCATATTGAGACGCAACAATGCCCATTTTCATCCTGGGTTCCCTCCAGCTTGCAGGACTTCCTTCTACGCACCTCCTGGGTTTCGTGAATACAAACCCATAAGGGTCCTGCCAGTTCTTGAAACAGGCCCTTTGTTTTCTTTCAGGGGTTGTTTTTTCTCATGGTGAGAACTGGAAGGTGATGCGGCGGTTTACATTAACCACGTTGCGTGACTATGGGATGGGCAAGAGGACCATAGAGGACAGGATTGTTGAAGAATGCCATTTCCTACTACAGAAATTTGAATCCTACAAAGGTGGGTTGGTGTTGTCTTCTGCGCTCTGATGGCGTATCTACAAACCAGAGTAGAAGTTGATTGTTGTAATGATTTACTGTCCTGTCTTTACCCAAAGGACTATAATTTGAAAAACACTGACAATTGTTTGTTACATATTGACTTCTAAAACTAGAGTTCCCAGAGTTTCCTGGGGTGTCTCAGTAGCTCAGTGGAAAAGACCCTGTTTTGCATGCAGAAGGTCCAAGGTTCAGTCCCTGGATCTCCTGTTAAAAGAAGCAGGCAGTACATGATGTGAAAGAGCGCTGCCTGAGACTCGGGAGAGCTGCTACCAGTCCGAGGAGATGATCCTGAGCTTGATGGACTGATGGTCTGTTTCAGTATAAGGCCGCTGCGTGTTTATGTCCAGCAGAAGTTCTTATATCATTCTGGTCCTTATTAGCATTGCTGAGTCAAAACAACCCCAACTATAACCTAGTTCTATATAGTACATAGCATCAGCTAGGGATGGGCACAAACCTCAAAAAGGCAGCTCACTTTGGGGGTCGGGGCGGCCCACTAACTAAACTCCAAACCGACCCAAATGAGCCCTGCCTGAACCGAACCTGTCCAGCACGTTCAGTTCCCCCTGAGCCACAGCTGGGAGAAAGGGGGCAGGGACCGCCCTGGAAGGGACTTCCTTTACACCTTTCTCCCTGTTGTGGCTCACTGGGGCCTGGAGAAAGTGGGGGGATTACCCAGGAAAGGACTTCCTTTCCCCCTTTCTCGTGGCCATGGCTCACTACAGCCAGGAAAAAGAGGGTGGTGATAACCCAGGCTGGCAGCCATTTAAACTTTAAGTTTTACTCCTCATTGCTTCAAAGGGGGAGGAGCAAGACTGAAGGGTTAAATGGCTCAAAGCCATTTAAAACTAACAGCTGAGTGGTGGACCCACTGAGCTCTTAGGTTTAAATGCCTGGCCCCAAACAGCCAAAAAGGCAGCTCAGTTCGGGTGTAGGGGCGGCCCATGAACTGAACTCCAAACTGACCCAAATGGGCCCCGCCCAAACCGAATCTGTCCAGCAAGTTCTGTTCCCCATGAGCCACAGCTGGGGGGAAGGTACCTTTCGAACCGGAAGGCGCCTTCCCCAAACATTGGTTCCCGGGCTCTGAACCAACCCAAGTTCGGCCTAAGTTTTGACTCATGGGCCTTTTTGTGCCCATCCCTATCATCAGCAGTGTGAATCCCTTGTGTATACCTCTCCTTTTAGACAGACGTAGATATCTCAAAACTTATTCAATTCCCACGATAGCTGGTTCTTCCTGTTTCAAGTAGATAATTGGCTCTGCAGCATGCAAATTGGCAGGCCCCTGACAATCACAAAAATTGCCTCCCCTCATCTGGCTGCACAAAGGACCAATTGTCTGCACCACAAGACAATGACAAAGGCATCCCCCCTCCCAGTTCACTCTGATCAAAGTTTCAGTTGTCAAAAATTTAGATGGTGTTTAAAAGTAGGCAGGGCTCTTTGTAGCAGGGACTCCTTTGCATATTAGGCAACACACCCCTAATGTAGCCAGTCCTCCAAGAGCTTACAGTAGCCCCCCTGTAAGAAAAGTTCTGTAAGCTCTTGGAGGACTGGCTACATTAGGGGTGTGTTGCCTAATATGCAAAGGAGTTCCTGCTACAAAAAGAGCCCTGATTAAACTGATAGATACGCCAGGCCCTGGGGGTGGTGGGGGTAAACAAATCAAAGGCTTGCCCAAAACATGGGAGGCCTGAAAACCCAAATTAATTTCAAAGCTATGACGGTGTGTCAGGAGAAGAGAAATGACCTGTTGAAGGAGAACTTCCCATGTGCCAAAGAAGACCCCTTCTGTTCTTGGCAAGTTAACATCGAGGCAAAAGCGAAGCCTCTTTCCAAGATAAATGCTAGCTCTTTTTAAAATTTATTTTTAGGAAAACCGTTTGAGACCACTGTAATCATGAACACGGCTGTTGCCAACATTATAGTATCCATATTACTTGGCAAGCGATACGAATACGAAGATCCCACTTTTGAAAGATTACTGAAGTTGGTCAATGAAAATATCCGGCTTGCTGGAAGTCCCTCAGTCACGGTAATTAATTTTTTTGTTTTTTGGGGGAATTTTGCTGCATAAAATGGAGTCAGGGCTATATGTGACTCTACCTTGAATTTGACGGCTCACTAGCCAAAAAGAAAAGAAAATGGTCCGATGGTACTATAGAATCCGTTGTGTTGCTAAGCTGATTCAAAAATATGAAGGAAAAACTACATGGTACAGACATAAGAACGTAAGAGACGCCAATGCGGGATCAGGCCAAAGGCCCACCCAGTGGCCAAAAGACCAGGTGCCATCAGGAGGTCCACCAGTGGGGTCTTCCAGAAGAATTCTGCTTCCATACAGAAGCAGGAGGTCGCACGTGGGATTCATGGCAACTTCTTTAATTGTCAGACCCCATGGTGGCTCAGGCTGGAGACTGGGGGCAGGGACTTGGGGGCAATGTTCCCTCTAAGCTGTGGAGTCTTGTGAGCAAAAATTCTACTTTGTGAGCTCCTGGCATTGAAGTTGTGAGCGAGCAATTTGGCTGCTGCACAATTTAGTTTGCTCTGGAGCCATCCCTCCTGAGCTAAGACAAAAATGTGTGAGCCGGAGGCTAAAAAACTGTGAGCTAGCTCACACTAACTCCGCTTAGAGGGAACACTGCTTGGGGGGGGAGGGCACCATCTCATTAATGGCGTGACACCATTTCTAGGCCAAACTCACCCCAATCATTGATTCAACAGAAACTCTATGCTTTTACCGTCAAATTTATGCTGAGTCGTAGAACAGAGTGATTTAACTGCCAGTTCACCTCAGAAATGACATTGCTCAGTTGACAGGGCAGCAATTTCTGCATTCCCCCCCCCCACCTGCCACTGGCCCACCAAGCAGTGGTGGGGTCACGAACCTCCAGCAGGAGACCTGACAACCCTAGCTCAGACCCAGAACGCAGAGTAATCAGCCTCAAGCCTTGTTCTGTACAGCTGAGAGAGCCGCTAGGCCAATCTACCTTGCACCCCTCTCAAGATGATCGGCTGAGAAAGCACACCTTGGTCGGAGGGATCCTTTGAGTGGCTGGTAGCAGCTCACTGAAGGGTCCAGGAAGGCCTATATGACCCGCAATGCTATGACCCAACTCAGCCTCTGTCAGACTGAGCGAGGAAGGTGGGTCCAGCAGTCACAGGTTCGCCACCCATCTTGTCCCTTTAAATTTTTTGTCAAGAGCTCTGACCCTTACACACCAGGTTCCCACACTTTCTCAGAGACACGCCAGGGAGGGAAGTAATGTTCCCTTTTCAACGGCCCCTTACCCAGATATTTCCCCAAGGTACTGAGTTATGGAATCAAATACCATTTTGTATATATAAAGAGGTGAAGTCCCAGTTGGTTTGCATGTGTAGTGTATTCCCTTGAGACAATTCCCAGTCAGTCAACAAAGATGAACACTGACAATAGCCTCTTGTTGGAAATCACCTCTATCTCCTTCATTATCCGCCTGGCACGAGAAAGTGTGGGAACAATTTGTGATGGCTAAGGTTACTGATAAAGTCTATAGAGCACAACACTCTCAGCCCTCCATTTCCAAATTTGAATCAACCTGGTTCCCATTATTCTCGTTTCTCACTACACATGATATATTACCTGAAAACTCACATTATCATAAATGGTTACTGTTGTGAGGCTCTATCATAACAGTTTGTTGGGAAAGGTCAATATATGTTTTCCTTGCTTAATTAATTCTGTAGACTTAAAGCTGTTGATGTTATACTGAATTGTAGAAGATCTCTTAATTGGAATGTTAAGATTCTCATTGATTCTGATGTAGTCTTTGAACATCGTTGTGATGCATCTCTATGTTACTTTATCTCGATCAATGACTTTTGTGACAAATAATAAATAAATAAAAGTCTAAAAAAGCAAAAAAACCCCCAAAGATGAACAAAAACTTTTATTCAAAACTTTAAAGGACATTGGAGTGTTATAGGCAGAGTAAACAAAGATCTTTCAATTAGAAATGCTTCAAGGTCAGCCTAAAATGCACCATTTAGCTTTGGGGTTTTTTTAAAAAAATCTTTCCCTTCTTTTATGTTATTCTTTTAGCTGTACAACATGTTTCCTGCACTGCGTTTTCTTTCTGGTGGTCGCAAGACTGTCCTTAAGAACAGGGATGAACTGTACGCCTTCATACAGGCCACCTTCATTGAACACCTCAAAGAACTGGATGTGAACGACCAGAGGAGCTTTATTGACGCTTTTCTAATACGACAGGAAGAGGTAACTACGTTTTAAAAAACATGCCGATAATCCAGTAATGCCCCCCCAAGTCCCCCACTGGGGACTTAGAGGGACCTGGCAACCCTAACCTAACATTTGACCAAAAAAAAGTGCCAGGCAGATGTGGTAGAGAGATGTTTCCATAATTATGATCAGGGGTCATTTAATAGAAAAAGAGGTGCAGGAGCTCATTAGCATAACTTATTAGCATAACTTATTTGCATATGCCACACCCCCTGACACCACCGGAAGTGTGTCAGGAGGGAACACCCACCGCTCAGGCTCCACTGGACTGTTTTGGATTGCTAGCTATTGGGGGGGGGGAGACACGCAGATCTGTCCTCACAGGGGAGGGAGAGCTTGTACCTGAAGGCATGCTGGGGGGGGGGCTCTGCAACTTACCTGGCTGCTTCTTGCTCCTCGTGGCCCAACTGAGGGCTGCTTGGAGTAGGGGACAGGCTTGTTGCATGTGCCCGACCCCTGGGCTCCTTACTGCCGGAACTCCGCTCCTGTGCACTCCCGCAGGAAATGACCCTTGATTACAATTGATCTCCAGATGACAGAACATCAATTCCCCTGGAGAAAATGGCTGCTTTGGAGGGTCGAGTCTATTGTATTGCACCCTGCTGAGATCCCTTCCCTCCTCAGCCATGTCCTTCCTTCCAGGTTAGATCACTGTAATGTGCTCTACATGGGGCTGCCCTTGAATCTGACCCAGAAAATGCAGCTAGTGCAAAATGAAGCAGCATGCCTGCTGACTGCGACATCTATTTATTTTTATTTATTTATTTCATTTCATTTATACCCCGCCCTCCCCACACGCAGGCTCAGGGCGGCTTACAAAGGCACAAAGTGCAATAAAGATAGAACAGATGAAAGCAGTTGAAGCTAAAAAATTCACAACTAACAGGATACAGGAAGATTAAAATTACACACTCCCCATTGCATATCAGGAGGAAGTCAGGAGGGGGACTCCATGGGCCACGATGTTCCAGTTGCTCCATCGGCCCAACCCGGTGGTACTGCTCCACAGTTACGCGGTGGTGGTAGTGGCGGCGGTGGCTCCTACTCAAAAGCCTGGCGGAAGAGCTCCGTCTTGCAGGCCCTGCAGAACTGTAAAAGGTCCCGCAGGGCCCTGATCTCTTCCGGGAGCTCATTCCACCAGGTAGGAGCCGCCACCGAAAAGGACCTGGCCCTCATGGTAGCTAGCCTGGCCTCTTTAGGGCCCGGGGTCACTAGACGGTGTTGTGGGCTCACATTCAATTGGTGTTACGCCAGTTGCACTGGCTGCCAATTGAGTACGGGATCCGGTTCAAGGTTATGATACTAACCTGTAAAGCCCTATGCGGTGGAGACTGATATATCTGTGGGACTGCCTCTTCCCCATGTGACCCGTAGACACTTGCGCTCTGCCGAGCAACATCTGCCGGTAGTTCCTGGCCCAAAAGAAGTCTGCTTAGCCTTGACCAGAGCCAATGAACTCTTAGTAGCCTTCCTCCCTAGTTGTGTTCATGTGTTGTTTACATGTCTTCATGTTCTTATTGTATTGCTAGATATTTACATTAAATGCCATTTTAATGTTTTAAACATTTTCATGCCTTGATGTCGACTGTCTTGGAGACCCTATTTTGTGGGAAAGGCAGCATATAAATGTTTTAAATAAAAAATAAATTAAAAAAATAAATATCCCCGTACCTGTTCCAGTATTCTTTCCTTTAATGATACAATTCCAGTATCCCGAACTAGCAGATTAATATGGCAATGGAACTGAAGAGCACTGATGGAATCCAAGCCAGTTTGGTGTAGTGGTTAAGTATGTACACTCTAATCTGGGAGAACCGGGTTTGATTCCCCACTCCTCCACTTGCAGCTGCTGGATGACCTTGGGCAAGCCATAGTTCTGGCAGAGCTGTTCTCTCAAGGACAGTTCTAGAAAGAGTTCTCTCAGCCCCACGTACCTCACAGGGTGTCTGTTTTGGGGAGGGGAAGGGAACACAAACTGACACAAACTGCTCTTTTTCAAGGACAGCTGTGCCAGAGCTTGTGACTGACCCAAGGTCACATCAGCAGGTGCAAGTGGAGGAGTGGGGAATCAAACCCGGTACTCCCAGATTAGAGTCCGCACATTTAACCACTACACCAAACTGGCTTGGATTCATCAGTGTTGTTCAGTTCCATTGCCATAGTAATCTGCTAGTTCAGGATACTGGAATTGTATCACTAAAGGAAAGAACACTGGAACAGGTACGGGGATATTTCTTTTTCATTTTTTAAATTCAATTGCATGATATAGGCCCCAAATAAGCTCCCTCAGGGTCAGTATTGTTTACTTAGCCTAGCAGAGAAACGTAAATTTGACTAAATAAACTGGATCTAATCTGCCTATAGAGACAGAATAAAGAAATCCGATTTTGATTTGATTTTGCTAATCCTTTAGTTTAAATAATTTCTTTCTTCTTATCTCCTAGGAGAAGAACAAGAACCAGACAAATGGATTTTTCCATAACGAAAACCTAAAGTCTGTTGTGGGGAACTTATTCGCCGCTGGCATGGAGACCACTTCGACTACCTTGCGTTGGGGTCTGTTGCTGATGATGAAGTACCCTGAAGTTCAGAGTGAGTGTTTTCCATTGGGTGGTGCCCATTATCCCAAACTATCTGGATTCCAGTTACCCTTAGTGGTGAGAATGTAAAGAACTCTCGGGTTGTCTTTGGAGGCTATCTGGATGAGGGAGAACAGGAAGCACCAGTGAGTTATACTTCCTGTTTTCCCCCAGCTGGTATAATGCTGAAAGCAGAAGGGATTGTGAACTGCTTGAACTTTTCATGTTTTCAGCCTTTGGAGCTCGCACACCTCCCTCCCTGTTTACCTTCCATGCTGTGGTGCTGCTCAGAGTGCATTGCCACATAGCTAAAAGACGGACGACTCTCTCCGCATTGTTTTTATACATGAAATAACGTTTTGGGGATTGATTAATCCTATTGGTTCGGTGCAGTGGTTGGAGTATCAGACCAGGGTCTGGGAGACCCAGGTCTGAATCCCCACTCTGTCCCCGAAGCTTGCTGGGTGCCCTTGGGCCAGTCACAACTTCTCATCCTTACCTACTGCAGAGAATTGTTGTGAGGATAAAATGGAGGAGCTGCTTTCAGTCTCCATTGCGGAGAAAGGCAGTAAATAAACAAGGTAAGCAAACAATAGATAAAATCCTGTTTAATACTTCACGCCTCATTCCAGGTTGCTGTAATCCTATACTGGTTGCATTGGTTTACACTTGGTCAGCTGCCTTGAGTCTCGGTAAAAAAAAAAAAGTCAGACAATGAGTAAATAATTATGCTTGGCGGATGATGGACATGAATACAGATATGCTGACTGTGAGAGGAGTTTGTCTGTTCAATCTTCCTCTCATCCAAGATAAGTGAGAATAAGTTAAGTTAGAGAATAGTGGGTGGAGCACTCCTTGGAGGATGGTTGGAGCCATTCCAATATTCGTAGGGAATAACATCAAATGTATTTTATTATTGATTTCTTAAAAGGTTTAGCATCTGTGATGCCCCGTCTCCACTCAGAAGGAGTGCCTACCACCCTCTGCCCCACTTTCTCTCAGGTTCAGGGTTATCAGTAGGTCAGGCCGTCACATTCACCACCCTTCTTTTTTTTAAAAAAAATATATAGACAGCCTTGACCATTTCCCCTCTCAGGTCTTCTCTCTCACTCACAGAGACATCCGCAGGCAGGGTAGCCCAGCCCCATGTAGTCGCAAGCCCTCACTCACACAGAGTTGTTGGAGTTGGGGGCTGAAAGACTGTTCCATTCACACCCTGCCGCCATTTATTCATATTTTATTACACATGCATACCTACATACCTATAGATAGGCCAAGATATTAAATTGTGTGTTTCTTTCACTTCGACATACAGCCCACAGGGTTAAAGAAAACAAGAAGTTAACTTTGATTTTTGGTATTTGCATAACACTGAAGAAACTAAGGTAGAAGTTACAACACTTCGTCTCCACTGAACTTTTGAACTGTGGACCTGTTCCCACAATTGGCATCCTTTGGTTACAAATTGACTATTTTCACCCGCTCTAAGTAGCTCTTCTCCACAGTTTCACTCAGTCAGACAATCCTCTTTTCCCTCTCAACTTCCCAGCTGCCAACTCCCAACGGCTAACTTAACTGCTGTTTTCTAACTCTCTCTCCCAAACATTTGGTCAGCTCTAATTGGTTGCTCTGAGGGAGAGGTGGAACCTTGCTGGTCTCACAACAGTCTTCAGTTTCTCCCTCATTGTGAGACTAAGTCTGAAACCATTAAGTTTCTTTTGTTAGGTGTGTCATGTGCTATCAAGTTGCTTCTGGGGACCCTAAGAATTCATGATCTCCAAAACGTCATTTCATTGACGGTCTTGCTCAGGTCTTGCAAAACTGAAGGACTGTAGCTTCCTTGATTGAGTTAATCCATCTCCTGTTGGGTCTTCCACTTTTCCTGCTGCCTGCAACTTTCCCAAGCATTATTGGCTTTTCCAGGGAGTCTTGTCTTCTCATTATGTGACCAAAGTATGAGCGCCCCAGTGTCCTTATTTTAGCTTCTAAAGAGAAATCAGGATTGACAAAGAAGAGGAAGAGGAAAAGATATCGGATTTATACCCCACCCTTTACTACCTGAAGGAGTCTCAGGGACTGAGCTCAGACTGGCAGTTTGAAGCGCGAGGGAGTCGTGGCAAAAAATAAGGGGAGCAGTGGCACAGGGGATTTATCCTCTGGTTAAAACATCTGAGCTGAACAGAGCTGCTGTCAGTTCTAGCCCCGTGCTGGTGTGAGCTACCAGCCTTGTCCCCAGCTCGCCGTCCACCCAGCGGTTCGAAAGCTTCGGCGAGTAGATAAAATGGGTACCACTCCTTAGAGGGGGTGGGCACACTAAACCCCCCGGTGGGGGAGGTGTTAGCTGGCGAACGGAAGGTCCAGCACGTAAAAGATCGAAGCCTAGGAAGAACTCTTCGGCATCAAGAAAGCCTGTCTGGCTAGGCGGTGGCAGTGCTGCACTGCAACTGAAGCAGTCCTGGAGAAAGCTGACGACATCAAGCCACGCCGAGGGAAAAATGCCGTTGGAACACGTCTGACCTTACTGCTGAACAAACTCCCCGTCGGCTGTGAACGTGTGTGATTTAAAGATTTATATGTTGTCCTCCCTTACCCCTTTGAATCATTGTTAGTCCCGTGTGTATTTGAGTAACTGTAAATCGCTCAGAGCCAGCAGCTCTGCAGGATTGAGTGATTAATAAATTGAAAGATTGATGATGATGATGATGATGATGATGATGATGATGATGATGATGATGATGATGATTTAAAAGACCTGGAACAACTTGTTCCCCTGGCAGAGGCGCTGCTGTAAGGCGTAGCTTTCTTTTTGGTAATCTGGAGATAAGCGCATAAGTGCACAAGCAGTTGCAGCTTTCGGCGTTCACACTTTGCTGGTGAGGGATGAATGTGGGATGACCGCGCTCTCCGGGGTTTGCTACCACTTTCACCAGGTACTTTTTAAAATCGGGAGGCAAGCGCTACAAGATGTACAGCAGGGCTCTACTGGTAGCAGGAGCTCCTTTGCATATTAGGCCACACCTCCTAGTGTAGCCAATCCTCCAAGAGCTTACAGAGCTCTTCTTACAGGGGCTACTGTAAGCTCTTGGAGGATTGGCTACACTAGGGGTATGTGGCCTAATATGCAAAGGAGCTCCTGCTACCAGTAGAGCCCTGCGTACAAGAGTACGGCTGGGGAACGCCTGACAGATGTGCCTGTGTGAACGGCCCTTTTAATCCGTTGGTGAAACGCTTCTGGCACGTGTCTATCTCGGGCCAAACTGCCAGTCTGAAATCAGCCAGAGTGCTTTACAATCCCTTTCCCTTCCCCTCCCCACAACAGACACCCTGTGAGGGAGGTGGGGATGAGAGAGCTCTCTCAAGAACTGCTGTTGAGAGAACAGCTCTGAATGAACTTATGACTGACCGAAAGTCACACCAGCAGCTGCATCTGAAAAAGTGGGGAATCAAACCAGGTTCTCCCAGATTAGAGTCCCCGCTCCTAACCCCTACACCAAACTGGCTCTCCACAGATTTGATCCAAAACACACTTGTGTGTCTTTTTGGCAGTCCACGGTATCCCTAAAACTCTCCTCCAACATCACATTTCAAATGAATCAAGTTTCTTTCTGTCAGCTTTCTTCAGTGTCCAACTTTTCCATCCAGACGTAGGGACAGGGAATACCATACAATGAATTAAGATTTCTTTTTTAAAATTTTCTCAGATAAAGTCCAACAAGAAATTACGAAGGTGATTGGGTCTGCCCAGCCTCAGATTGAACACCGATCGAAACTGCCATATACAGACGCCGTAATCCATGAAATCCAGAGATTTGCTAATATTCTCCCTATGAATCTGCCACATGCCACCACCGTGGATGTCACTCTGAAAGGATATTTCATTCCAAAGGTGATCAGTGTTCCCTAATTACATAAACTTTGACAGTCTTATGTCATTTCATATCTGTTCATTTGTTGCCTACTACACTTTACAAAGAAGACATTTTTTAGATGCTGAGGAGCTTCAGATAAGCTAGTTTGGTGTAGTGGTTAAGTGTGCAGACTCTAATCTGGGAGAACCGGGTTTGATTCCTCACTCCTCCACTTGCACCTGCTGATGTGACCTTGGGTCAGTCACAAGCTCTGGCACAGCTGTGCTTGAAAAAGAGCAGTTTGTGTCAGAGTTCTCTCAGCCCCACCCACCTCACACGGTGTCTGTTGTGGGGAGGGGGAGGGAAAGGAGTTTGTAAGCCGCTCTGAGACTCCTTTGGGTAGTGAAGGGTGGGGTATAAATCCAATCTCTTCTTCTTCTATTTGTAATCCCCATTCATTTCAATGGGAGATTTCTAAACCCAGAGCTGGTCCACCCATTAGGCACACCCAGGCAACAGGGCTTCAGAGGTGGAGGGGCACCAAATCATCCCTGCTGTCCGCTTGCTCACAGCATCAGGGTCTGCCGTGGCAAGCGGTAGGCCCAGGCGGTGCCTCTGGCCCCAGTGGGCAGCCCACAGAAAGCTTGCTTCTTCCCCATCCCTTCCTTGGGGGGGGATTGAGGGTTGTGGCACCACAGCAAGCCACCGTGTCATCCCCAGACACATCCCGAGTCAGGGCAGTGTCAGTGGGGGATAGCTTCCCCATGGAGCAGGTGGGAAGAAGGAGGGGGTGGCCCTTTCCCCACAATTCAGGGTGGTGGAGGAGGAGGGATTTATACACAACCGTTCACTACCCGAAGGAGTCTCAGAGCAGCTTACAATCTCCTTTACAGTTTGGTGAAGTGGTTAAGTGTGCGGACTCTAATCTGGGAGAACCGGGTTTGATTCCCCACTCCTCCACTTGCACCTGCTGATGTGACCTTGGGTCAGTCACAAGCTCCTCCCATCTGGGGGAGGAAAGAGTTAAAAGAGTTAGTGCACTGAGCTCAAATTGCTCAAACTACAGGCTCAGACTACAGAGCCAGGGACTTAGAATGTTGAGGGAAGTCTTCAACAGTTGTCGTCTGTTTTATAAGTTCCTGCTCTCTTGTGCCCATTTGTCAAGGAGCTATGATGAGGTAATATCACTGCACAGAGAAATCTAGTTAGTGCTTCTTTTTGGCTCTTACGTACATTCGCACATGCTGAACAATCCACTTGCAATTCACTGTAGCAGTTGTTTGCAAGTGGAATTCAGTGTCTCACAGCAAAATTCAGTTCCAGAGTACATTGAAAGTAGATCAAAAATGCCCTTTTTGCCATGTGAGAAGAGGAAATCGTCTGCTATATGTTTCCGACTCTGTATTCTTTCACTGTCAAAAGTGTTTTCTCGTTAAATATTGCCCTTTCATTTTAAAGATTTTAGACTGTGTCCATGTAAGTCACTCACTGGCCTGCCTGTTTGTTCATGCTTGATGTAGTGGTTAAGTGCGTGGACTCTAATCTGGGAGAACCGGGTTTAATTCCCCACTCCTCCACTCGCAGCTTCTGGATGACCTTGGGCAAGTCATAGTTCTGACAAGAGCTGTCCTTGAAAAGAGCAGTTTCTGTCAGAGCTCTCTCAGCCCCACCCACCTCACAGGGTGTCTGTTGTGGGGAGGGGAAGGGAAAGGAGTTTGTAAGCCGCTCTGAGATTCCAAGTGAAGGGCAGGGTATAAATCCAATCTCTTCTTCTTCTTCTTCTTCTTCCCATCCCCACCAATGCTCCCTCTAAGCTGTTGAGTCTTGTGAGCAAAAATTCTACTTTGTGAGCTACTGGCATTAAAGCTGTGAGCGAGTGATTTGGCGACTACATAAATTAGTTTGCTTTGGAGCCATCCCTTCCTGAGCTAAGACAAAAAAGTGTGAGCCAGAGGCTAAAAAAACTGTGAGCTAGCTCACACTCACTCAGTTTAGAGGGAACACTGCTCCCCACCCTGTGAAGTAGGAGGAGCTGAGAGAGCTCTGAGAGAACCACTCCTGAGAGAACAGCTCTGAAAAAACTTGTAACTGACCCAAGGTCACACCAGCCGCTGCCTGTGGAGGGGTGGGGAATTAAACTCGGTTCTCCCAGATTAGAGTCCCTGCTCCTAACCACTACACCAAACTGGCTCTCAGAGGGCAGGCAGCAGCCTAGTCATCGGCCAAGGGCACAAAAAAATGGTTGGGCCGTCTCTGTGGAGTTCAGGATGTCTTCAATTTCTCATTGCTTTGACTTTTCAGGGAACACACATCCTTCCATTGCTGTACTCTGTGCTGTACGATGAAAGTCAGTGGGAAAAACCACTCCAGTTCTATCCGGAGCACTTCCTTGATTCCGAAGGAAGGTTTGTCAAGAGAGACGCCTTCCTGCCTTTCTCTGCAGGTAACTCCTTTTAGATTGAGCACTGTGGGTGTAGTTAATAGGTGAAGTACCCAAGTCCATTGACTTGGAAGACCACTGTCCCAGCTGGCCATTTCTCATTTATTCTTTCCAGATTGCTAATCACTGTGTTATGGTACACTTCCATTTACTTTTGAGTACTTTATGATAAGAGGAGCTGCGGTGGCTCAAGTGGTTAAGATGCTGAACTGCAGGCTGTGGAAGGTCAGTAGTTCAGCAGTTCAAGACCCGAGTGTGCCGCATGACGGAGTGAGCTCCCGTCTCTAGTTCCAACTCCTGCCAACTTAGCAGTTCGAAAGCAAGAAATTGCAAGTAGATAAATAGGTACCACTTTGGTGGGAAGGTAACAGCGTTCCGTGCGTCTTGGTGTTTAGTCATGCCGGCCACATGACCACGGAAAACATATTTGGACAGTGCTGGCTCTTCGGCTTGGAAACAGAGATGAGCACTGCAACCCTAGAGTCGGATTCGACTGGCTTTCGAGCAAGGGAACCTTTACCTTTTTACTTTATGATAAATGAAGTACTTACTTCTCAAGGCCCTTTCTTACACGGCCAGGGAGATGCTGATCACTACTTTGGGGTTAGGAAGCAATTTTTCTCCAGGCCAGTTTAGCCAGGGATCCTGGAGGGGTTTTTTTTGTCATCTTCTGGGCATGGGACAGGGGTCACTGGGGGTGTTGGGGGAGGTAGTTGTGAATTCACTGCACTGTACAGAGGGTTGGACTAGATGACCCTGGAGATCCCTTCAACTCTATGATTCTGTGAAATTGTTTTGGCATCATTTCATGGGGGAAATGGTAAAAAAGTAGTACAAATAACTTCAATAAAAAAGGGCATCCCTGTTCCTTCTGCATTGTCACAGGTCGGCGAATGTGTGCTGGTGAGACCCTGGCCAAAATGGAGCTCTTCCTCTTCTTTGTGAGTCTCCTGCAGAGATTCACTTTCCAGCCAGCCCCTGGGACATCCAAAGAAGACCTGGACCTGACCCCTGAAGTTGGGTTTACTACACCTCCGATGCCCTACCGTTTCTGTGCTTTGCCGCGTTCTTAACATCCAACCATGCTAGCTCCCCCCACTGTGTGCACCACCCTCCTTTTCTACAACTTCTTGCCAGCCAAGGACATTTCAAACTCAATGGAACCAGGCTGCGGTCTTCTCCCAAACCTCAGCACTTCACATAGGAGGAGGAGGAGGAGGAGGAGGAGGAGAAGGAGGAGGAGGAGGAGCAGTAGGAGGAGGAGGAGGAGACTGGATTTATACCCCGCCCTTCACTACCCAAAGGTGTCTCAGAGCGGCTTACAAACTCCTTTCCCTTCCCCTCCCCACAACAGACACCCTGTGAGGTAGGTGGGGCTGAGAGAGCTCTGACAGAAACTGCTCTTTTTCAAGAACAGCTCTTATCAGAACTACAGCTTGTCCAAGGTCATCCAGCCAGGTGCAAGTGAAGGAGTGGGGGATCAAACTCGGTTCTCCCAGATTAGAGTCCGCGCACTTAACCACTACACCAAGCTGGCTCTCTGTGAAAGCCCCATAAGTTAGATCAGAGACTTAGGCTGCGGTCACACTGGAGGCTTGCCGTGATCTGGGCGCACCCCCTAATTGCACTGGTTTAAAGTGTTGTGGGGCAGACCAACCAGACAGCACAACCTGGGGCAGTTTCCCCACGTGCTCGTCTGGTTACCAGATCCAGGTTGGGAAACCCCTGGAGATTTTGGGGATGGCACCTGAGGAGGACAGGATCCTAAGTGATGCACAATGCCATCAGTCCTCCCTCCAAAGCATCCATTTTTCTCCAGGGGAACTGATCTCTGTTGTCTGGAGATGTGCTGTAATTCTGGGGGATCCCCAGGTCCCACCTGGAGGCTGGCATCCCTAGGAGAAAGAGAGCCAAGAATTACAGATACCAACTTGGATCCAATGGGGCATTTCTGTGGGCAGAAGGATTTCCTCTCACAGGGCATGGCTTGGGCTGCATTAGGAGACAAGAAAGGCAAAGTCAGTGGGCAGGAATCACTGGATACCATTGGATACCAGCCATTGACTTGAGCCAATCCACTCAGGCCTATTTCTAGCCTTTTCCCTGGTACAAGATACAAGAAATACAAGTGGAATGTAAATCTTTTCTATAAATACCTGGTTCCGTTGATGCTTTTTCACGGTTTTGACTATTCTCATTAATTGGTCGACTTTCAATCACATTCTTTCTAAGCGACCAACTTAGAGAGCTCATTGAGAGCCAGTTTGGCATAGTGGTTAAGAGTGCGGACTCTAATCTGGGAGAACTGGGTTTGATTCGCCACTCCTCCACAGGCAGCAGCTGGTGTGGCCTTGGGTCACTCACAAGTTCTTTCAGAGCTGTTCTCTCAAGAGCAGTCCTCAAAAGAGGTCTCTCAGCCCCACCTACCTCACAGGGTGTCTGTTGTGGGGAGGGGAAGGGAAAGGAGACTGTAAGTCACTTTGAGACTCCGGGTGAAGGGCAGGCTATAAATCTGATCTCGTCTTCATCTTCTTTTTCTTTGTCTTTCTTTATCCTGTCTTTATTGCAGCTACATTAATGATCCTTGCCACGTAACTGTAATTAGGACTGTCAAACGTTGTGTATATTGAGGCTGTTATTAATGTTCATCTTAATAAGAATAATTCTCAGGATATGACTTTGACTTTGCTTCCCTGTGTTTTATTTATACTAGTAAAATGGCTGCCATAGGTTTATGTGGCTACTGTATTGCTAGTCCTTTACTAACTTCAGACGACAGTTCACGACTTCCACTGACTCTCAGCTAAAAAGGAGAGTTGTGTGTGTCATCTGCCTATTAGTGATATGAAAAGTACTGAGAGTGACGCATCGTTGAGTGATTTTCAGCTCATACTTAGTGATTTCAGGAAAAAAGGAGATACAATGGCTAGCCCACGGGCTGCTTATATGTCCATTCACACCCACACCCATGACACACACCCACACCCATGATAGGCTAAATACAAGAGTTACAACCTTATAGGTCCCCTGTAGAATCCCTACTTGCCGGTTGGTGGGTTTTAAGATCCTAGGGCTCTATCGTTTCTGGTAGCGAAGCTTCGCTAGTTGATCGCGCCACATGGCAGCCTGACCACGTGTGCGGTTCAGCTAGTACACAACATGATACTTATTTGTTCAATTTATATCCTGCCCTCCCCACCGGAGCAGGCTTACATAAATATAAGACACATAGATAATAATTATAAAATTATAAACCCTCTAAAACCATGCAATTTTACACTATTATAAAGTGCTAACAAGATCTATAGTTAGTATTGCTTGAGGAGGATGGTGACGGTTCTATTAGTTTATCCGGGGGTCTGTCGTGTTGGTCAGCTCATTGATCTTTTCCATACAAGCACGGCGGACACAGACTGTAGATGGTGAAACCAGGGAACTGTATCTTCGGGGCTCTATTTCTTCCAGTCGTTGCTGGCGGCAGCTCCTTCATCATCAGGCCACCAAAATCATCAGACCACCTCTTGAAGAATCTTTATGAGCCCATACATAAAACCAGATAAGACAATAAAATCATGAATAATAATAACAGTACAATAATAAAGTGCTTTCTGTAAACAAGATGGTCTTGAGTGGTTTTGATGGTATCCTCAAATCCTCCCCATTGGGGTGACACTGTCCAGTAGATAGTTCAAGCCAATCCCACATTGTCAATGCCATGCAATTTATGGTGGAACTTCCGAGGGCGATTCCTAATCCCGATGGTATCGCCACCATTGGTGGTGGTGGCAGCGGTGGCCCCTATGCGAAAGCCTGGCGGAAGAGCTCCGTCTTGCAGGCCCTGCGGAACTGCATAAGGTCCCGCAGGGCCCTGATCTCCTCTGGGAGCTCATTCCACCAGGTAGGGGCCGCCACTGAGAAGGGTCTGGCCCTGGTCACAGCAAGCTTTACCTCCCGGGGGTCTGGGATCACCAGATGGTGTTGGGTCCCCGACCGAAGTGCTCTTGGGGGTATATGTGGGGAAAGGCGGTCCCTCAGGTAAGTCAGACCCTGGCCATGTAGGGCTTTAAAGGTGAGTACCAGCACTTTGAAGCAGATTCAGTATGCTATTGGCAGCCAGTGCAGCACTTTCAACCCAGGCCGGATGTGCTCCCACTTGGGGAGACCCATCAACAGCCTGGCCGCCACATTCTGCACTAGCTGCAGCTTCCAGATCTGCGACAAAGGCAGCCCCATGTAGAGAGTGTTACAGTAATCTAACCTTGATCACTGTAGCCAGGTCGTCGCAGTCGAGGAAGGGAGCCAACTGCCAAATCTGCCTCAGATGGTAAAAAGCAGATCTGACAGTGGCTGCCACCTGGGCCTCCATAGTTAAGGAGGGATCCAGGAGCACTCCCAAACTCCTAACCTCCAATGCTGGCACCAGAGGCACCCCATCGAAGGTCGGGAGAGGGAGCCCCAACCCCGAACCGTTCCAGCTCAGGCACAGGACCTCTGTCTTCGCTGGGTTTAGTTTCAGCCGGCTCAGCCTGAGCCACCCAGCCACAGCTTGTAATCCCCGGTTCAGATCTTCTGGGTCGGAGCCCGACCGGCCGCCCAACATCAGATAGAGCTGGGTGTCATCTGCATATTGATGACAACCCAGCCCATACCTCTTGGCAAACTGGGCGAGAGGGCGTATGTAGATGTTAAACAACATTGGGGAGAGCACCGCTCCCTGAGGCATGCCACACTCCAGTGGGTGCCCCCGGGACTGCTGTTCCCCTATCGCCACCCTCTGTCCCCGACCTTGGAGAAAAGAAGCAAGCCATTGAACAGCGAGCCCCTGTATCCCCATGTCGGCAAGGCGGTGGGTCAGCAACTGGTGGTCGACCGTATCAAAGGCGGCCGACAGAACTAACAACAACAGTGCCGCCACACAGCCTCGATCCAGATGCCTCCGGAGGTCGTCAGTAAGGGCAACCAGTGCCATCTCCGTCCCATGGCCAGGGTGAAAGCCGGACTGGAGTGGATCCAGGACAGAAGCGTCATCCAGAAAGCTCTGAGGCTCTGTCGCCACCGCCCTCTCAATCAATTTGCCCAAATAGGGCAAATTAGACACCGGCCGATAGTTGGCCAATTCAGCCGGGTCCAAAGTTGTTTTTTTCTGAAGAGGGCAGACCATTGCCTCTTTAAGTGCCTCAGGGAACTGTCCCTCCACAAGGGACTTGTTAACAATCTCCCGTACGGCACCTCGAAACCCCTCATGGCCCGCCTTAATGAGCCAGGAAGGGCATGGATCCAGGCAGCATGTGGTTGGACGCACAGATTCAAGCAATCTGACAACGTCCTCCAGACTGAGTGGGTCAAAACATTCTAAACCCTGCGAGGACATGCAAAGGGCCTCATGTTCACACAGTGTTTCAACTGTGGTGGGGAGATCGCGGCGGAGCGCCAAGACTTTATCAGCGAAATAGCTTGCAAAAGCCTCGCAGCCAATATCCAATTCCCTACTATTTTGTCTGCCTTGTGGCAGAACTGTCAAGGACCGAATTGTTCTAAACAATTGGGCTGGGCGTGAGCTTGTGGACTCAATCGTGGCTGCATAGAATTCTCTCTTAGCAGCTTTGACAGTCATCTCATAGGATCTCATAAACGTCCTATAGGATGTTCTTGATGCTTCATTGCGGGCATGCCGCCACTGTCTCTCTAGCTGTCTTAGTTCCTGCTTCATAAGCCGCAACCCCTGGGTATACCAGGAGGCCAGCCTAGTGCAAGGGCACAGAGGGCGCCGCGGAGTGATCTCATTGATGGCGGTGGAGAGCCGGTCATACCAGTCCCCCACAAGCTCATCTAATGAGCCGCCAGGGGCATCGGAACCCGCAGAGCCATCTGAAGCCTTTCAGGGTCCATTTGGCTCCGCAGGCGAGCTAAAATCTGCTCGCCACCTAAACAGGGTCGGGGTGGGACATTCAGATGGGCCTTCAGGGAGTAGTGGTCCGACCATGGTACTGCCCTTGCAAGTGGGAGCACTGTAATCCCCGCAGCAAAGATCAGATCAAGCGTGTGCTCGGCCTGGTGCATGGGGGTCGATACAAATTGGGAGAGCCTCAGTGACACCATGGACGAAACCAGGTCCGCAGCCCGGCTGGAGGTCGTGTCATCGGCATGGACATTGAAGTCACCCAAGATGAACATGCTTAATGAGAAATTTGACACATTGCACAAGGAACTTCAAATTCTCAAAAAGGTCAACAAGAGACTTAATTCTGAAAGCAACAAGTGGAAATGTTTTCAAAATCCAAAGAGAACAAGTCAAAATCTTAAAAGACATTCCATTTGAGATCAGAAAAAGAAGACAATACAAAGACTTGGCATTGTTCTTGCAAAAGCATAACACCCCTTACAGATGGACAATACCAGAAGGTCTTATTTTCAACTTCAACGGGAAAAGAGAAAAGAGTGACTCTGTTCTAAAAGCAAAAAAAAATTATTGACCAACAACAACAAGCGAAAGATGGACCTGAGAAATTGGAGGATGATAAAGACGCAGAAAAAGAAGAAGACAAAAATGGAGACAGCTCAAAGAACTTCTAACGGATGAATCCTCACACTTTGAAGCAGAATTAGGGACTGCGGCCCCTAAGCCTCCTAAAAATAATAGGGAGCTTGGAAAGAAACGTAGAGGAAGAAAATAAGTATAATAATGTAACTCTGAATGTCTGATACTTATTATTATTTAATAACTTTCAGCTAAAATGCATACACTTCAGTCAATTTTGATTATGAATGCTCATTTATTAATTAATTTATTTAGGACATTTTTACCCCGCCCTCCCCGCAAGCGGGCTCAGGGCGGCTTACAGGGGGCACAAGCCCAGCATAAAACCCACTAAAACAGTAAAATCACAATTGTAATAATAGCAATAACAATAAATAACAATAAAGTGCTTCATTAGACAGATGGTCTTGCATAGTTATCTTCTGGTCGAGATGGTCTTGAGTGGTTATCTTCAGTCAGCCCCATTTGGGTACCACTGTCCAGTTGATCACTCATACCAATACCATGTTGTTAATATCACATCGTGTATGGCTGAGCTTCCCAGGGCAATCCCACGGTCAGATGGTATTGACCATCGTTGGTGGTGGTGGCAGCGGCAGCCCCTATGTGAACGCCTGGCGGAAGAGCTTGTGCAGGCCCTGCGGAACTGCCCAAGGTCCCGCAGGGCCCTGATCTCCTCCAGGAGCCCGTTCCACCAGGTAGGGGCCGCCACTGAAAAGGATTTAGCCCTGGTTGCAATTTTATTGTAATAACTCTCGTGTATTACTACTTTGCTATTAAGGGAATATCGACTATTTTATAATATGTACCAATGATCTCTTGTTACTTGTAGTTTTAGGTTGTTCCCTTCCCCTGATCCTGTAGATGTCTAGTTTAGAAAATGCAAGGAAAATCTTTATATATATATATTAAAAATCTTGGCAACAGGATTGTTTGTGGTCCTTCACAGAGGAACAGTGGACAAGAATATGGAGTTCTATTACACTTCAATTGAAGTGTGTAAATATCAGAGTTCAATCAATAAAAGTTTTCATGACTCAAGGTTTCAGATATTACTCAACAGCAGACTGAGGTCTTCAAGGTTCCAAGCTTCAAAGTCCAAGACAAGGTTTCCAGTCAGCAAGACCCACCAAACAAGACAGCAACCAGGCCTGATGCAATGGTCAACACAGTACCTTTTAGCAACGGCTTTACCACAGCTCTCCTAGCTAGTAACCTTTCACACACTGACACATAGCCTAATGGCTTTACATAACAAGCTACAATGAAAACCTTTTCTTTATGGCCCAGGGCTGGTGTTGCTCTAATTCTAATTAGCCAATCAGGTGTAGAGCAAACGATGTCACCTAACCACCAGACCTGTTGCAAAGGAGATGATCTGGCCAATCAAAGGGGCTTGTCAATTAACCCGATGTTCTGCAGGTGCATTTGGTTCAAATGAAGAGTTTTCAAAGAGGATTAAGCAAAGCCACTCCCTGAACTGGCAGAACTAACCTTCAGAAAGGAGTGCCAAGAGTTAAAACCTGTTCAGCAAAGTGTTCTCTTATGGAGCTAGAAAGATTAAATAATCAGGTATGGTTTAAATAGTTACAGAAAAGAACGGGGGAGGGCAGCTTCTATTGCCCAACAGGATAGTTCTCATTGATTCACTAGAGTTTTCACAGTAGGAAGGACAAATATTTATACTGCTTCTTTTGGCTAACGGAGACTGCCCCAGACCAAATTGAGTGCTACCACTTTGGTCCAAATCACTTTAGACGGTTACTCAGAGCATGGATTTAATGGGTCCTGTTTCCTTGCTGTTCCTATTTGTCCTTACAATAGTATTCTTTTTGAAAATGGGCAGTTTCTGGAAGACTAGTGGCCAGGATCTTCCCCCGGGACCAAGGCCATGGCCACTCATTGGAAATCTTCACCTCTTGGATCTGAAGAGGCCTTACAGAACCTTGTCCCAGGTAAGCATTTTTTTTTTTGCTCTTTCCATGCCACTTGCGGATTTGTGTGTTACTCTGATCATCCTGTGAGCCAGAGAGAACTCAAGCTACCCCTTCCCAAGTGGAGACATCAACATATGAAATCAAACACGTAGAAGACATAGCTGTTTTGCTCTGATTTCTTATTAGTGTTGCGATGGCTGTGTTTGTCTGCTTACTGCTCCTTGATGAGTGCGAAGAGGAAAGGGCAGAGGGGCTGGCGGAAGAACAGGCTTCTGGATTGAACTTTGATCTGATCCTTGCTCTTGTTTATGTTCTTAAACGGTCCAAAGAGAGGGAGAACAAGGATTGGGAAAGAACGCCCAGGGCCCACAGACCCCTGCCAGCGAGTTATGATTGTGCAGCTCAGGGGGGTCAAACTCATTTCTTACGAGGGCTGGATCTGACATAAATGTCACTTTGCTGGGCCGGGCAACAAGAGGCAGGCTCTTCTCTGTGCACCGTTATGGAAACATCTCTCTATCACAACTGCCGGGCACTCTTTCGTAGGGCTGCCAAGCCGTGGCGGGGGATCCGTGCATCTTCACAGGAGCCCTGCCGCGGGGGGACAGCGATACGTGTTGCACCGCCGTCGCCAGGATGTGACGCTATGGCGACGGCGGTGCAATGTGTATCGTTGTCCCCCCACGGCAGGACTCCTGTGAAGACGCATGGATCCCTCGCCGCGGCTTGGCAGCCCTACTTCGGTCAAATGGCAGGTGCCAGTTTTAAATATCTCTATTCAAGCAGGCATTTTGTTTATAAATGGGTACTTACACTGGTGTTTTTCAGTAAGCTGGCCACTGTCCTAAAGACCTGAACTGTTTTTTCCCCCCACTTTGTAAAATTACATGTCAGTTATCCAAGCGGTATGGTCCTGTCTTCCGCTTACAACTGGGATTTCAGAAAATGGTCATTCTTACGGGTTATGAGACTGTAAAGGAGGCTTTGGTGAACCAAGCAGAGGCCTTTGCGGAGAGGCCCAGGGTCCCAATCTTTGAAAAACTTGCAGAAGGCCACGGTAAGTACATTTTTTAAAAAACTAGGCTGGCTTAATCTACAGACTGAGGTCCCGGTCTCATAGGCCAGATAACGCGGGGGGGAGGCATGGCTATTTGCGCTGTCGTTATCAGACTCGGCGGCAGCGAACCGGGGTTGTTTTCGACGGCACGTGTTCCCAGCGTGCTTCAACGCGAGAGGAGCGCGCTGGGGCGATCAGACTTAGGCAGTCCATCTGCTGCCCGTGGCAAACCGTTTGATAGTAGCTTTTGAGAGGCACTTTCTAACTCTGGGTCTTCAACGGTACGCCATGGGCTGGAGACAGGCAGGCAACACTTCCCAGATGTTTCCGTACGATCGCGTCTGTTTAATCCGCCTGGCAGTCGTGCCTCTCGCGTGGCAAATTCTCCATGTGACCAGGACCCGAGAGTAGTTTCCTGATTTTTCCACCCTCATGTATAGATCTGCAGGCATTAGAAAGAGACAACCTTTATCTACATGGAAAACATCCCCCTGTTGATTTCTGCCGATGAAATAACTGTTAAAGGAGTAGCCTAAATCAAGGTTTTTTTTAATTTTGCAGGATTATTTATTTGTTATTTTAAAACGGTGTTTTCTTGTATCATAAAACTCAAGCCTGACGTTGCTTTCGCAGGAGATCTCCCACCTTGTCCTAACAATAATAATAATAATAATAATAATTTCAATTTATTAATCGCTTTCCCTAGTGGGCTCAAAGCGATGTACAGTTACACATTTTAGACAGGGGACTAACAATGTTCATGGGGGATAGGGAAGACAACATATATTCATTTAATTGCACACGCTGTCACTGCACGGTGTAAATGTCTTCTGGCTTGGCTCAGTCATTTTCCGAACGGCTGCTTGTCGACTCTGCAGTACCAGAGAGGAATTTCAGACAGGCGATATATTCCGGAAGAGGAACGGTTCCCAACCGGTTTCTGGTCTGTCATTTCAGACAGAACCATTTGAGAACCAGTTCCCTTCCAGAATATATTTGTCATTTCATACACAATCACTTTTGTCCCGTTTAGGAAACGGGGCTGAAGCGTTTTACCTGTCAACTGCTTCAAAGTACTCCTCAGTTTCCTTTCCCAGTTCCGATGTACTTTTTCCCGCCGTTTTTCGCTTGCGCGGGCAATCTCCAGCTTTTTTTTAACGTTTGCTTTATAGCATTATAGCGCTATAGCGCTATAGCACTATAACAGCATACCATTATATCAATCCCATTGGAGTGCATGGAATGTTTTGTTATACTGCTATAGCGCTCTAAAGCAAACGTTTTTTTAAAAAAGCCGGAGATCGCCCGCACGGGCAAAAAACGGCGGGGAAAAGCGGGAAAAAGCGGTGCAGTCTGAAATGGCAAACCGCTTCAGATCCAGCTCTTTACCAGAAGGGGAAAGCCATGTGTGAAATGGCAGCCCTATACTGGTTCACTTCAAAACTAATCATTACCGGCTTGAAACTGGGTGAAACTGGGTAATGTGAAATTCCCCAGTGTGTTCCCCTGGAGAAAATGGCTGGTATGGATGGTGGACTCTATGGAATTAACACCCTGCTGAGGTTCTTCCCTTCCCCCAAACCCACCACCCCAAGGCTCCATCCCCCAAATCTCCACGTATTTCCCAATGGGGAGTCAGCAATCCTAGTTATGACCCCCCCACCTCCTCTACATCAAGCTTCTTCCCCACTCTTCTGCCGGTGTGGGATAGTGGTACAAATCTGCACTTGTCCCATGGGAACTCTCTGGGTGACTTTGGGTTCAGTCACACTCTCTCAGCCTTCCTTACCTCACAGGTTTGCTGTGAGGATAAAATGGGATGGAGGATAACAATGTAAGCTGCCATGGGTACAAAGAAATTAATTAAATAAATAAATAATCCAGCCACAAAGAAATTAAATAAATAAATAAATAATCCGGCCAGGAGCCACTTTGCTGCGTCCCTCTCCTAAGCCTCTTAATTTTATTTATTTATTATTTATTTATTTTATGAGATTTCTGTCCCACCCTCCCCTGCAAGCTGAGGCTGATTTTACCATAGAGTTTTGCCCCAGAACCAGAGTGTTGCCCGTGACCTCACCAATGTGTCTACATCACTTTCGGGTAGGCTTACCGAGTACCTACCTCGAATCGGCGAGGGACACATACTTCTTGTCAGGAGAATTCCCGCGTGGAAAACAAATGCGCTGCACCATGCTGTCGCCCAGACGTGACGCCAGCACGCTGAGCACGTAGCTGGGCGACGCTCTGGCGACGGAGCTGGAAACTCGATGGTACCATTGCCCAGCTACCATATTGAGGAGCTGGAAACTCGATGGTACCATTGCCCAGCTACGTGCCCAGCATGCTGGCGTCACATCTGGGCGACGCCATGGTGCGGTAGGGGTGCATTACACCGAGGGATGTTCCGGCCGAGAACCATGTGTCCCCCGCCAATTTGAAGGTAGGTACTTGGTAACCCTATTTCCGAGTGATGTAGGCATGTCACGTGACATCACTTCCCACTCCTGGAACATCCCCCATCCCCTCACCGGCATTTCTGACAGACCTGGCAACCTTACCCCTAGGGCTTCCCAGCCATTTGTACGAGTTCAGCCATTATTTCTGGTTGCCTGTAGAGAAAAAAGAATGCCAGGAGAGTTCAGAAAGCTCTGTAGTGCATGTGCTGTTTATAAGCATGGCTGAGAGGGCAAGGAAGAATAGCTGTTCCACCTCCTGGTTGGAGGAGAAAGAAAAGGAGGAGGAGGAGAAGGGTTGTTTTAAACCCCCACTCTTCACTTCCCCAAAGGAAGCTCAGATCACACTACAATCTGTGGTGTCGCAGGGTTCACAAAAAGACAAGACACACGGTTGCTGGAAACTCTGAACTCTCGCCAGGCTGAGCAGAGATATTTATTCAAAATAATTCCTCCATCCCCTCCTTTATTCCTCCCTGCGTAAGGGAATTTTACAGGCATACGTTCATGGCATGGAATGTGTTGATCTCGAAACCTTACATCTTCTTATCTCTTGTCTCTCTGCCAAGGTAGCTTCTCACGATGAACTCAGCAGATGTTTTCTGCCTTGTGCAATTAGTGGGTTCCCAATTTCAAGCTAGGATACCAGGGATCCCAATGCAGGAACAATGTTAACACTCCCGGGCCTGCCTCGCAAGAGCGGACAACATTGCTCCTACAACAATCTCCTTTCCCTTCCTCTCCCCACAACAGACACCCTGTGAGGTAGGTGGGGCTGAGAGAGCTCTTTTGAGGACTGCCCTTGAGAGAACAGCTCTGAAAGAACTTGTGACTGACCCAAGGTCGCCCAGCTGGATGCATGTGAAGGAGCAGTGGGGGAATCAAACTCGGTTCTTCAGATTAGAGTCCACTGCTCTTAACCACCACACCATAGCTGGCTCTTGTAACGGAAGGAGGAAGAGCAGTGGCTTCGGAGTGGAGAAGGCAAGGTAGAAGTGGTGGCAGAGGTGAGAGTCCTCCGGCAACGCAATGGATTGAGCTGGCAATGTGACTCTTGATCACATGAAGACCCCAGGCTCTCTCCCACATGGAACCTAGAACACAGCAAAGAGCGGCAAATCTTCATCCTGCCCTTTTTCTCTAGCTATAGAGGGAAAACTCTCGATCCTCGACCCTTAATTTTAGGCTGCGGTCACACACACGGAATAATCCACTTCCAATCCATTTTTAGTACACTTTCGGAGTCCAGTGTTCCCTCTAAGCTGAGTTAGTGTGACCTAGCTCACAGTTTTTTAGTCTCCGGCTCACACATTTTTGTCTTGGCTCAGGAAGGGACGGCTCCAGAGCAAACTAATTTATGCAGCAGCCAAGTCGCTCGCTCACAACTTTAATGCCAGTAGCTCACAAAGTAGAATTTTTGCTCACAAGACTCCACCGCTTAGAGGGAACATTGTTTCTGACTGGATTTTACTGGGCTAATTGGCAAAATCCAGTTGGAAAGTACATTGAAAGTGGACTATTTGGTGTGTGTGACCACAGCCTTATTCCGGGAGTTGCCAAAGGGGGGGGGGGAGAATGAAATGGTACAAACGAAGCTAAGGCTGCGATCACGCACACAAAATAATCCAGTTTCAATCCACTTTCAGTGCCCTTTCAGACTGGATTTTGCCAGTTCACACAATATAAATCCTGTTGTGAGGTGGACTGAAAGTGGACTATTGAGTGTATGTGATCGCAGCCTGTCGGAGTAGGGGAAAGCCTGCCCATCCTTTCTGCTGTATTGAGGTGGATCCTACCCCTGTCCTCCCACTCCACTGAACAAAGTTTGAGGCTTTTCTCCTAAGGAACTTTCCTCCAACTGAAGTGTCTCTTCCTCTGGAGCAACGGCCACCTGAGTTGGACAAAGCCTCCTGAGGCTGGAGGAAGGCTCCTTGGAGGAGGGTTGGATCCACCCCATTCTGTAGCCCTTCCTTCACTCAAAGGAGTACACCATGTACATCCGTAAACAGATCACATAGAGATGCAATCCACGTCTTCTTACACACCCTGGGGAATGTTGAATCACCACTTTGGGGCAGCCCCGTAGCGAAGGACTTTTTAGGGAGGGGGCCTTGGGAGCCCCCGCCTGCTAATCCAATCAAAGGCTCCAGGGCAAGGGCTGCAGCGGCCGCAGCTTCCCTGCCTCTCCCCCCTCCCCTCCCGCAAGGGCAGGCCTTCCCTGTGGAGCGTCCGGGTCCAGCTCCCTCTCTCCCCTAGGAGCCCCAGTGCCTCTTCCCGCGGCACAGCACCAGGGGCAGCCTCTGGAATCACTGCCCTTGTCCTCCCTGTCAACAGGCTGACCCGCAATCAGGGGGAGTTGGGGTAGGGGAGCCAAGGCTTAGGAAGGGCCCCCATAAAAACTGCTAGGGGGCTGGGCCCCGTGGGCCCCACAGCTACAGGCCTGTTTTGGGGTCAGGAAGCAATTATTTCTCCGGGCAAGTTTGGCTGGAGATCCTGGAGGGGTTTTTTGGTCACCTTCTGGGTGTGGAACAGGGGCCACTGGGTGTGTGTGCGGATGGAGGTATTTGTGAATCTCCTGCATTGTGCAGAGGGTTGGACTAGGTGACCCTGGCGGTCCCTTCCAACTCTATGATTCTATGCTGGGTTCCCTCCCCCTTGCAGGACCGCCTTCTATGTCCCTCCTGGGTTTTGTGAATGTAACCATAAGGGTTTTGCCAGCTCCTGAAACCAGCCCTTTGCTTCTGTTCAGGTGTTATTATTTGTTCCTTTCAGGAGTTATTTTTTCTCACGGTGAGAACTGGAAAGTGATGCGTCGGTTTACGTTAACCACGTTGCGTGACTACGGAATGGGCAAGAGGACCATAGAGGATAGGATTGTTGAAGAATGCCACTTCCTAATACAGAAATTTGAATCTTACAAAGGTGGGTTGGTGTCGCCTTCTGCCAGCGTATCTGCAAGCCATAGCAGAAACTGATTTCTTGTTATAGATCCAGGTGGGGTAGCCATGTTGGTCTGAAGCAGCAAGACAAAGTTCGAGTCCACTGGCACCTTTAAGGCCAACAAAGTTTTATTCAAGGTGTAAGCTTTCGTGAGCATGCACACTTGTCTCCTAAGAAGGGTGCCTGCACATGAAAGCTTATACCATGAATAAAACTTTGTCAGTCTTAAAGGTGCCACCGGACTCGAACTTTATATTGATTTTTGTAACGAGCTACTTGCATGTTGACAATTGTTTGTTACATATTGACTTCTAAAGCTATCATTCCCAGAATTCCCTGGGCAGACACAATTCATATTAACTTGTTTAAGCCTTTAGTGTAGAGGGGCTATGGCTCAGTGGAAAAGCCACTGCTTTGCATGCAGAAGGTCCGGGTTCAATCTTGGGCATCTCCAGTTAAAAGAACTAGGCAATAGGTGATGTGAAAGACCTCTGCCTGAGACCCTGGAGAGCTGCTCAAAGTCTGAATCCTGATCTTGAGGGACCAAAGGGACATTTCAATAAAAGACAGCTGCATGTATATGCCCAGTATAATTCATGTTAGAAAGTATCTCTCCCTTATAATAATTGAATAGCAACGTTCTATTTCGCAACGTTCTAAATTTGGCCCCTTTAGTGTTAGGCCGGAAGAACTGCCACTCAGAAGACACTGGCTGGGTTGACTGGCTGCTTTGTGCAGTCCCGCCCAGCGTTCCAAGGTCATTTGCATGTGGAAGCTGATTGGACTTCACTCCATTCCACACCTCAAACTCACCCCTAACCCCCGGCAAGGCAGTTGGAATTTTCAGTTGCATAATATACCTCATAGGGGAGAGGAGAATGATGTCAGCTGCCCTTTCCCTAGGCAGAGGCTGTGGGGGTGTGTGTGTAAAACTTAAGACGGACAGGCAGATTAAGGTTGGCTGATGGTTGCCAGGAAAGGACATAGGGTTGCCAACTCCAGGTTGGAAACTTCCAGGATATTTTAGGGATGAAGCCTGTTGAGGGTGGGGTCTGAGGAGGAGGAGGAAGAGGGGGACCTCAGACAGATACAATGCCATACTGCCCACACTCCAGACAAGCTGTTGCCAGTCTCCAGCAGTGTTCCCTCTAAGCTGAGTTAGTGTGAGCTAGCTGACAGTTTTTTAGCCTTTGGCTCACACAGTTTTGTCTTGGCTCAGGAAGGATGGCTCCAGAGCCAACTAATTTATGCAGTGGCCAAATTGAGCTGGAGTGGCCGCGGGGGGGTCTGGAGTCGGGCGGCCGCTGGCGGGGGACGCAGTCGCCCGGGCCGAGATTGGGGGGGCAAGGCGGGCGACAGAAGGCCGAGGCCTCCGTCGGCCGGCCCTCTACAGAATCCACCCCCCAAACCTCCAGGTATTTCCCTCCTTAGAGCTGGCAACCCTACATTCCCCTCAGTGCCTGTTGGTAGGCAACTAAGCTTGGTCCTGTCACCTACTTTGGCCTTTGGGAGAAAACACATTGGGGCCAGTCCTGATAGGGTTGCCAACTCCAGATGGGAAATTCCTGGAGACTTGAGGGATGGAGCCTGAAGAGGGTGAGGTTTGAGGAGGGGTGGGACCTCAGACAGGTACACTGCCATAGACTCCACCCTCCAAACCAGTCAGTCCCACATAGGGAACCATTGTTGCCAATCTCCAGGTGAGGGCTGGAGACCACTCAAAATTATAATTGCTCTGCAGAAGGGAGGGCGAAAGTCAGCTGAAGTCAAAGGGGCAGATAATGGTAGGTTGATGGTTAGTTGGGAAGGAGATGGGGTTGCCAACTACATGCTGACAAATTCCTGGGGATTTGAGGGGTGGAGCCTGGAGAGGGTGGGGTTTGCAGAGGGGTGGGACCTCAGACAGGTAGAATGCCATAGACTACACCCTCCAAACCAGCCACTTTGTCCTGGGTAACAATTGCTGCCAATCTCCAGGTGAGGGCTACAGATCACTCACAATTACAACTGCTCTTCAGGTAGCAGAGATCAGTTCCTCTGGAGAAAACACTGGACTCTGTCATTATACCCTGCTGAGGTCACCACAGCAAATTGACACTGTTTGCCCAAAGCCAGAGCACTGCCCCAGAGCCTCTTTCTAGATCTCGTTGTATTGCTTTCACAATGGGCTTTACTGCTAGTATAATATATACCGGTGTAATTTTGGCTGTGGTTGCACACACTAAATAATCCACTTTCAATCCAATTTCAGTGCATTTTTAAAGTGGATTTTGCCAGTTCACGCGGACAGATTTCACACAAGAGCTGCGCCGCGGTCGCACCTCCCTTTGCCCCGCTTCTATTGGTAAATTTCCCACTCGAAGCCGCGCGGCTGCATTTTGACCTGCAGCTTCACCTGTATTTCACCGCGGTTTTGTGATCCTGAGGATCACAAAACCATGGAAAAAATCAGGCGAAACAGCGGGGGGAATGGGGCAAACCGCGGGGAAAATCGGGTGAAACCACGGGTCAAAATGCGGCTATGCGGCTTCGAGTGGGAAATTGACCAACAGAAGCAGGGCAAAGGGAGGCGCGACCGTGGCGCAGCTCTTGTGTGAAATCGGTCACAGTAAAAATCCAGTTGGAAAGTGCATTGAAGGTGGATTATTTAGTGCGTGTGACCGCAGCCTTTTGTTTATAGCATGCAATCGTCCAGCGGGAGTTCTTATAGCATTCTGGTCCCTTTTAGAATTTCTTAGTTAAAAAAACCCAACTATAACATAACAAAGTTCAAGTCCAATGGTACTTTTAAGACCAACAAAGTTGTCTTTCTTGTTGTCAAGGCATAAGGTTTCATGTGTAAGCGCACAAAAGCTTCTACTTTGAATAAAACTTTGTCGGTCTTAAAGCTGCCACTGGATTCTAACTTCGTTCTGCTGCTTCAGACCACACGGCTGCCCCACACAGCAGGGGATAAGTCGCTCAAAGCGCGGCTTTTAAAAGCCGTGCCAAAGTTGAGACACCGCGGCGGGATCCCACGATCCCCTGGGCCGCGGCACCTTTTCTCCCCGGCACGATCAGATGCCGGAGAGAAAACACAGTTCAGACGGGGAGCCTGCCGAACTGCGCATGTCGGAGCATGCGCAGTTCGGCTAGGAGCCGGGGATGAGCCGGCACAAATACGCGCCGGCAATCCGACGGCCCGGCTTGCAGCGCTTCAAGCAGAAGAACCACCCAGGTAGGTGGTTCTTTGTAGTTCGGGTTTTTGGGCGGAAAGGACAGATCGGGGACGGGCAGGCAATGCTTCCCAGATGTTGCCGTGGGATCGCGCCCGTTTGCTCCGCCCCCGATCCGTCCCGCTCCCGGCCCAAAACCCGTAGCATGAACAGGACCAACATAGTTCCACATAGTCCATAGCATCAGCAGTGTGAATCCCTTGTGTTACTCCCCCCTTTTCAGATAGATGCAGAAATCTCAAAGCTTTGTTCAGTCCCAGGATAGCTGGTTCATCCTCTTTCAATCAGATAATTAGACTCAGCAGCATGCAAACTGGATGGCCCTGTGACAAAAACCACCTCTCCATCTGGCTGTGCAAAGGACCGATTGTCTAGAACAGGAGGAGGAGGAGGAGATTGGATTTATACCCCACCCTTCACTACCAGAAGGAGTCTCAGAGTGGCTTACAATCTCCTTTCCCTTCCCCTCCCCACAACAGACACCCTGTGAGCTCTGAGAGAACTGCTCCTGAGTGAACAGCTCTGAAACAACTTGGAACTGACCCAACGTCACTCCAGCAGCTGCATGTGAAGGAGTGGGGAATCAAACCTGGTCCACGCTCCCAACCCCTACACCATACTGGCACTCTGACAATGGCATTCTTTCCCCTAGTTCACTCTGAGCCATGTTTCAGTTGTCAAAAATTTAGATGAAGAGCTTAAAAGGAGGGTTCATAATGAGTATTTAAATTGGTATTTAAATTGACAGACATGCCAGGCAGTAGGTTAATGAATCAAAAGCTTGCCCAAAACACGGGAGGCCTGAAAATCCAAGTTAATGTCAAAGCTATGAAGGTGTGTCAGGAGAAAAATAAGAACCAGCTGAGGCAGAACTTGCCATGTACCAAAGAACACCTCTTCCATTCTTGGCAAGAGTTATTGTCGTCTTATCATTATTTATTTATTCAGATTTTTACCTCGCCCTCCTGGGGCTCTTCCTAGTGAGGCTCTTCCCAAAGTAAATGCTTTCTTCTTCCTCTTCTTCCTCTTCCTCTTCTTCCTCTTCTTCCTCTTCCTCCTCTTCCTCTTCCTCTTCTTCTTCTTCCTCTTCTTCCTCCTCCTCCTCTCCCTCTCCCTCTCCTTCTCCCTCTTCTTCCTCTTCTTCCTCTTCTTCCTCTTCTTCCTCTTCTTCCTCTTCTTCTATAGGAAAACCATTTGAGACCACTGTAATCATGAACGCCGCCGCCGCCAATATTATAGTGTCCATATTACTTGGCAGCGATACGAATACGAAGATCCCACTTTCGTAAGACTACTGAACTTGGTCAATGAAAATATCCGGCTTGCCGGAAGTCCCTCGGTCACGGTAATCTAATCCTTTAAAATGGGTTAAACAATTTTTCTGGAATTTTGCTACATACAGTGCAGGCAGGGCTACACGGGTCTGCCTTGAATTTGACGGCTCACTAGCCAAAAAGAAAAGAAAATGGTCTGGTGGCTAGTGCAGAATTCGTGGTGTTGCTGAGCTGATTCAGAAATATTAAGGAAAAACTACATGGCACAGGCCTCCCAGAAGTATTCCACTTGTGCACAGATGTCAGAGGTTGGATATGGGATTCATGGCAGCCTCTTTAATTGACAGGCCCCATGGGGTCTCAGGCTAGGGACTAGAACATGAGGGTGGGCACCGTCTCATTGATGGTGTGACATCATTTCCAGGTAGGGCTGCCAAGTGGTGGGCGGGTAAACCCCCGCTTTGGAGGCCCGATTTCCACCGCCGCGGAATCGTGCCCCGGGGGAACCCCACCCCCCGAAGCACAGCGTGGCTGCGTCACCAGAGGTGACGCAACCACGTAGAGCACGTTGGGGGCGTGGCCCCGATCGGCAGAGGGAAAACTCTATGGTTTTCCCTCTGCCGATCGGGGCCATGACCCCAACGTGCTCTACGTTGTGTGTCACTTCCTGTGACGTGCAGGTGGCACGCGCTTCGCGCACGCACACACACGTCCCGCAGCGACTCCCGGAGCCCAGGGACAGTCCCCCGCCGGTGAGTATAAACGACTTGGCAACCCTCTTTCCAGGCCAAACTCACCCCAAATCATTGATTCAACACAAACTCTATGGTTTTACCATAGAATTTCTGCTGAATTATAGAGCAGAGCGATGTCACTGCCAGTTCACCCCAGAAATAACGCTCATTGCACAATGGACAGGACGGCAATTTTTTATTTACTTTTTTATTTATTTATTTAACCTTCAACTTTATATCCCGCTCGAATCCTCTTTTTCACAGAGGGTCTCAGAGCGGCTTACAATTGGTGCTAATCACACGAGTTTCCCTAACTAGGGCCACAGAGTTATATGGGGTAGGGGTTACCTATCAGCACCCTTGTGGTTGTGGTTGGGATGTTTCTCAGCTTCGGCACTCGGCGCTTCACTTGGCTTTGGCATTCTGTTCGTTCCGGATAGTTCTTCCTATGGGGTGCACGACTCGCGTCTTCTGCTGGTCCCAGCCACGTCCTTCTGACTCCGCTGAGGCAGCATCTGACGTTATCAACGTGCCCCGTCTCAGCAGCCGTCTGGATGTTTTCCTCTCTCCTGGCCACCAGGGGTCGCCATGTCGCCATGGCGATCGCTGTAGCTTGCTGCTGCTGCTGTTTTCGCCGCCGCCATCTCGCCACGCCACCTCCGATCTCCGAGCCGAGCTGAGTTCTCATTCGCCGCCGTTGCCGCCGACCATCTGACGTCAGGCAGGGTGCCCCCCTACCAAGTGGTGGTTGGGTCAGGATCTTTTCTAAAGGAGAAGACCTGGCAATCCAAGCTTCTGGGTCAATTCTCTGAGCAGGAGGAGCAAAGATATTGTAATTAAAAGTGCTTCGAGGTCAGCCTAAGATGCACCATTAGGCCTTGGGTGATGTTGTTTTTTTTAAAAAAAATAATATTTTCCTTTCTCGTGTGTTATTCTTTCAGCTGTACAACATGTTTCCCGCTCTGGGTTTTCTCTCTAGTGGTCGCAGGACTGTCCTTAAGAACAGGGACGAACTGCACGCCTTCATACAGGCCACCTTCATTGAACACCTCAAAGAACTGGATGTGAACGACCAGAGGAGCTTTATCGACACATTTCTAATCCGGCAGCAAGAGGTAACTGAGTTTTTAAAATGTAATGATTATCCCAATTGAACGTTTTAAATGTAAATTTTAAAAATAAATCTGTGTGTGAATGCTCAGTAAGGAGATAAGTCGAAGAAACAAACAGCTTATCAAACCAGCTGGGATTCCCTAACCTTCAGCAATCCTTATTGTTATTGAAACAACGTGTTATTGGACCTGTCTTGGTAGAGATGCACATTATATGTGGGCAAGAAAGCGAATTCTTCAGACTTGACTCATCTAGTGGGTGTTTAAGAACATAAGAGACGTCAATGTTGGATCAGGCCAAAGGCCCATCCAGTCCAACACTCTGTGTCACACAGTGGCCAGAAATACCAGGTGCCATCAGGAGGTCCACCAGTGGGGCCAGGACATTAGAAGCCCTCCCACTGTTGACCCCCCCCCAAGCACCAAGATGACAGAGCATCACTTGCCCCAGAGCCCCTATCTATACCTTGTGGCGAATAGCCACTGATGGACCTCTGCTCCATATGCCTATCTAATTCCCTTTTGAAGCCGTCCATGCTTGTAGCTGCCACCACTTCCTGTGGCAATGAATTCCACGTGTTAATCACTCTTTGGGTGAAGAAGTACTTCCTTTTATCCGTTCTAACCCGACCGCTCAGCAATTTGGAGTCTGGAGAGGAAAGACTCTTTGCTCTTCTCCATCATGTGTCTTTTCTCCCTGCTTTTTCCTCCATATCTCTCCATCCTTTGAGTTATTTAATTTCTTCCTTCCCTGTGAGAGTTGCCAACCTCCAGGTGTACCCTAGAGATCTCCTTTAATTACAACTGACCTCTTCCTAAAACTGTGGCTTTAGATGGAGTGGAACCCACATCTAGAAGAAGCTGAATCCTCAGTTAGCAGTATTGTCATCCAACAGCTACTCAGGTTTATTGGAACTAATGTTCAGTTATTGGTCCTCAAGCAATCTGGAAAGAAGAATTAGCCTGTTGTCAACATAACGATGACAGATTCTTGGACATCCCCACTCAATGGTTTCACGCAGATATTGAACATCATAAAAGACAATGGGGAATTTCACATTACCCAGTTTCACCTGGTTTCAATGATCCGTTTTGAAGTGAACCGGTATAGGGCTGCCATTTCACACATGGCTTTCCCCTTCCGGTAAAGAGCTGGATCTGAAGCGGTTTGCCATTTCAGACTGCACCACTTTTTCCCGCTTTTAACTTGCCGTTTTTCTCCCGTGCGAACGATCTCCGGCTTTTTTTTTAACATTCGCTTTAGAGCGCTATACGCTATAGCAGTATAACAAAACACTCCATGCATTCCAATGGGATTGATATACTGCTATTCCGTTATGCGAACATAAAAAAAAAGGCCGGAGATCGCCCGCACGGGCGAAAAACGGCGGGGGAAAAGCGCATCGGAACCGGGAGAGGAAACTGAGGAGTACTTGGAAGCGGTTGACAGGTAAATCACTTCAGCCCCATTTCCTAAATGGGAAAGAAGCGATTGTGTATGAAATGACAAATATATTCCGGAAGGGAACCGGTTCTCAAATGGTTCTGCCTGAAATGACAGACCAGAAACCGTTTGGGAACCGTTCCTCTTCCGGAATATATCGCCTGTCTGAAATTCCTCATGATATAAGCTTGTGAGAACCCCTAGCAAGCAGTAGTTCCCCAGTACTACATTCTAGTCCTGGTCCTCTAGACAGAACTGTAACTATTGGAATACTAATGCAAGGGCCTGATGGTTTGTGGTACTAAAACTTTGGAATTTCTTCTCAAGGGAGATTTATGTCTTTCTGTGTCATTGGTCCATTCTGCATCTGGCATTCCCTCCACTTTTTATCAGCACTCGACCTGGTTCCCCCTTGCCCTGGAATATCTGTTTTCATTGCATTGCCTCTCCTGGCTTCTGCATTGGCTAGTGTCAGCTGGCCATCTATTTTGTTTTCAATTCTCCCTCCTGCATTGCTATGCAGATCTTCCTATGTCAGTACTTGCCTCAGCGGTCATTAGCTGCCTGAGCCAAGTAGTTCATGGTGGTGTAATAAATACAGAGAGGGAAATAGGGGTGGGGGAACTGACAGAGATCAATGAAGCCGTGTCAAGTTGTCTGCTTATTGTTCCCTTGGAATTGGAAGCAGAGGAAGAAAAAGGTGCCACTCAAAACCACATTCAGATACCCCAGGGCAACACCGTACTGACTGCAAAGTCTCCCCTGAACGGCCATAAATCTATGCAGAAGGTACCATAAAACCTGATGAACAAAGAAAGTGAAAGCAAGATGCAGTGTAGAGGGAGATTAACTTCCCGATGTGGCTGTGGGAAAACTTTGAGGTAACAGATGGGTGCAGAATCACCCATTGTCCTCTGTCAGAAGGTTAAGATCGAATCAACTCTTACTAGCCTTCCTCACTGGTCGCGTCTGTGCCTTGTTTGCATGTCTGCATGTTGTTATTGTATAGTTGGATAGTGTGTGTGAAACCTCTGGAAAAATCTGTTTCCCTTCAGAAGCCAAAGTGGTTTAAAGAGCCCCTAAGAAAGGGGTCCCTCAGCCCGTTCTGTCTCCATCGATGTCTTAAAATTCTTGAGGCACTCTTTAGTTGCTTGATAATGATCATAAGCAGAGAAACATAAATTTGACTACATAATCTGGATCTAATCTGTCCATACAGACAAAATAGAGTCCAATTTTGATATGCACGCGTGTATTTATTTTACTCATGCTGAACTTTTTAGTTTAACTAATTTCTTTCCTCTTATCTCCTAGGAGAAGAACAAGAACCAGAGCAATGGATTTTTCCATAATGAAAACCTAATTGGGGTTGTGTCAAACCTATTTGCTGCCGGCATGGAGACCACTTCGACTACCTTGCGTTGGGGCCTGTTGCTGATGATGAAGTACCCAGAAATACAGAGTAAGTCCTTTCCATTGGGTAGTTTCCATTATTCTGCTTGAACTCTTCATGTTTTCACCCTCTGGGGTTTCCACACCTCCCTCACTGAATTTACTTTCTATGCTGTGGTGCTGCTCAGTGGAAATAAAGAGTGCATTGCTAAAGGACGGACAACCCTCTCTGCACTGTTTTTATACATGTAATAATGTTTTCAGAATTGATTAATCCTATAAGTTTGGTGCAGTGGTTGGAGTATCAGACCCGGATCTGGGAGAGCCAGGTTGGAATCCCCACACTTAGGGAGAGGGGGAACCTAGACTGTCTCACAACACCCTTCAGTTTCATCCTCATTAAGGGACTAAGTTTGAAATCATGAAGTTTATTTTGTTAGGTGTGTTATGTACTATCAAGTTTTTTTTTTCTGGTTTCTCATAACCCTAAGATTTCATGATCTCCAAAATGCCCTATCATTGACAGTCTTACTCAGGTCTTGCAGTCCATCTCCTCTTCCTCTTTGCCTGCTGCCTTTAACTTTTCCAAGCATTGGCTGCGGTCACACGGAACAGAAGCCACACAAGTGAGACGGAAAACAGGCGGAGTCACCAGCACATCTGGGAAGCGTAGCACTCCCGTGGCTCAACCGAGGCTTCCAGCCGAAACTGCGTGGCAAAAAACTAGTACCTCGGAGGTACTAGTTTACGGAAACTGCGGGGCAAGGGCGGGCGTCTGATCGCGTTTCCGGTGGCATCCGGTGCCCGCCCATGTCCCCTTGCAAATAAGGTGGGGTTTTTTGTCCAAGTCTTTGTGGATGCGCACGCGCACCCAATGGAGCATGCGCATTTGTCATGTACACACAAAACAAAAACAGTTTGCCACGGCGCACACTTCTTCGTTGCGCGCCGGCTTGTCCTGTGATCGGCACCTCTCCCTTGCCATGGAATCTCCGCGGTACCTCCACAGGACCTCCACAGGAGGTCTGATCGCGTAACTGCGCAGTAGTTTGCCCCAGGGCAAACAGCCACGCTTCTCCCCCGCAGTTTCCTGCCCGTGTGACCGGGACCATTATTGGCTTTTCCAGGGAGTCTTGTCTTCTCATGATGTGACCAAAGTATGAGAGCCCCAGTTTCCTTATTTTAGCTTCTAGAGAGAATTCAGACTTGAAGAAGAAGAAGAAGAGGAAGAAGAAGAAGAAAAGGAAGAGGAAGAGAAGAAGATATTAGATTTATAAACTTCCCTTTACTACACGAAGGAGTCTCAGAGTGGTTTATAATCCCTTTCCCTTCCCCTCCCCAAAGCAGACAACCTGTGAGGTGGGTGGGGCTGAGAGAACTCTCTCCAGACCTGCTTTTGAGAGAACAGCTCTGAGAGAACTTGTGACTGGCCCGAGGGCACACCAGCAGCTGCATTTGGAGGAGTGGGGAATCAAACCCAGTTGTCCTAGATTAGAGTCCCCGCTCCTAACCGCTACACCAAACTGGCTTGTCACAGATTTGACCTAGAACACACTTAAGTGTCTTTTTGGCAGTCCACGGTATCCCTAAAACTCTCCTCCTAGATCACACTTCAAATGAATCAACTTTCTTTCTGTTTGCTTTCTTCAGTCTCCAAAGTACAAGAGTCTCAGTTTACTTATTTTAGTTTCTAGAGAATTCAGACTTGATTTGATCTTATGTGTCTTTTTGGCAGTCCATGGTACCCCTAAAATGCTCCTCCTACATCACACCTCAAGTGAATCAACTTCCTTCCTATCAGCTTTCTTCAGTGTCCAACTTTCCCAGCCATACATAGGAACAGGTAATACCATAGTATGAATTAAGACGTTTATTTATTTTCTCAGATAAAATCCAAGAAGAAATTACAAAGGTGATTGGGTCTGCCCAGCCTCAGATTGAACACCGATCGAAACTGCCGTATACAGACGCCGTAATCCATGAAATCCAGAGATTTGCTAATATTGTCCCTATGAATCTGCCACATGCCACCACCGCGGACGTCACTCTGAAAGGATATTTCATTCCAAAGGTGATCGGTGCTCCCTAACTACATAAACTTTTACACACTTACGCCATTTCATATCTGTTCCTTCATTCCCTACTACACTTTACAAAGAGGACATTTTTCCAATGCCGGGGAGCGTCATGTAACCCACTAATATCCTAATATCTGCAGGGAGAGTGGGCAGGTTCAGTCGGTTTTGACAGCGGAACTCCCACCTATGGTTATTAAGAATATGTAACTGCTGTTACTACACATGTACTTAAACACAGACATAAAAGAGGCAATACAAACAATGCACTTTAACATTTAAAATAAACTCTTTATATAAACAAAGCACAGGAGCTGCGGTGGCTCAAGTGGTTAAGACGCTGAACTGCAGGCTGTGGAAGGTCAGTAGTTCAACAGTTCAAGACCCGGGTGCCGCATGATGGAGTGAGCTCCCATCTCTAGTTCCAGCTCCTGCCAACCTAGCAGTTCGAAAGCAAGAAATTGCAAGTAGATAAATAGGGACCACTTCGGTGGGAAGGTAACAGCATTCCATGCACCTTGGTGTTTAGTCATGCTGGCCACATGACCACGGAAACGTCTTCGGATAGCGCTGGCTCTTCGGCTTTGAAACGGAGATGAGCACCGCAACCCTAGAGTCGGATTCGACTGGCTTTCGAGCAAGGGAACCTTTACCTTTACCTTTTATAAACAAAGCATGGAGGTTTTCATATAAATCCTCATTCACTTCTGGTTGGTTGCTATTACTTCATAGCAATGAATCTTCAGGATATTACTGAGTACAGATATCTTCAGCATCCACAAGGATGCACAGAACAGAAAAAAAATACTAAGCACATAGATAATACATATATTGTAGGTCCATATGTTGTAAGCTCACAGATACTGGAACAGCATATGAGGTTTCCAGGCTGTACTTGGGAGGCTGCAGCTCTTCTCAGTTCAGGACTTACCTGCAATAATTCAAGGCGGGCCTTAACACAGCAAAGTCTATATAGGCCTCTCCCCAAGATGTTGCCTCTTTCTGGGCCAGGCTGAACTGCTCATTGCATTAACAAACAGAATACTAAGGAAGATGTTTAAATAGATCAATAACTATAAAATTACATATTTTCACAATCATATGAAATTACTATTAAGTATCTTTTTTAAAAATATATATTTATTGGGTTTTTATGCTTTATAGACATACATACACACAAATTACAACAAACATACTTTTTCTCGATACATCACATTGACAAAAAACAGGAAAAAAATACAGAAATTCAATGTGCAGAATCCAGTTCTAAATTCTCTCTAATTTTAGCCATATCATGTAAAAGCACTCATAATTCTCACTGCTTACTTTATTCAAATTATCCTGTCAACTTTCCATTGCTCCATTCTCCTATCTAAGCATCAAAACACCTTTTTGTAAATTCATCTGCTGTTTTTATATTAATCACTTATACTCATTCCTTCTAGTTATTATAACACACATGGAGTAATCACACTGATCGCATAACTCTTTAAAAACCTCTAATCGTGGAAGCCTATAAGAGGATCATATCTGTCAAGCATCACATCCATTAATCTTAAAGGGTTACTAATGCCACCAATAAATTCCAATTTTATGACATTATGTTCAAGACCAAATTGACACAGTTCCGTTATAATACTGTTCTCCAACACTTTTTTAACATTACCCCCTTAAATTCCCCAACAACAACAAAATTATTACTTGTCATTTCAACCATACATGCCTACCGATATGAACAACCAATTAGTCATAAGCAATAACTTTACATTCTAAATTGTCAAAGCAAAATTTCGAATACACGGATTTTTATGCTCTCCAATCATAACTCCAGCACTTAATTTATTGCAACCTTCTTTACTACACTAAAAGGCAACAATAACAAAGCAAAATTCCTTCACCAACACTGAGTTATATAGCTAAAGATATTTCATTTAATTCTGATAATTATTATTTCCATTACCAGCAATAAAATTCATTTCCAGTTACAATTACATTATCCATTAATCTTAAACAATAATTTCACATTCTAAATTATCAAAACACAGTTTCAAATACACAGTTTTTATACTCTCCAATCATACCTCCAAAACACAAATTATTACAACCCTCTTTACTAGACTAAAAAGTAAAAACGCAGAATTCCCTCACCAAAAATAGGTTACATAAAACATTTCATTTAATCCTGATAATTGTTACTTCCATTACCAGCAATGAAGTTCATTTCCAATTGCATATAGATTATCCAAGCAAACTTTCAAAATAAACAATCATGCCACCAAAATTCATTACAACCCTAAAGTTCCCAGCACCATTACCAAGTTCCATCTCCGGTTAATTCATGGCACAGTTATCAGAATAATATTACCAATACTCTACAATCTCCTCTAGGTTTCTCAGTAACAATATATAGAAAAGGAGAGAGACCTATATAACAAAAAAAGAACAGTTTGTTGTTTTACAAACACAATCCTCATGATAATCCAATTCCTTTCTGTCTTGATTTCCCATGTTCTTCTCCCAATGCCGTCTGTCCTTATACGCCTGCGTTTCCATTTCCAAATTGTCTCCTCCATATTCCCCAGTAATTAGTTGCCTAAAAGCCCTGGATTTCTTTACTTCTTTCTTTAATTTCTTCCCTCTGATGACCTTCTTCCTTCTTTTCCATATCGGGTCTGGCAAAGTTATTTTTTTTTTTTGCTCGTGACTTGATTTTTCTTTGTTCCTTCAAAACATTCTTAATGTTAGCTGCCTCCTGTATTTCTTCCTCTGTAAACAAAGGCTGAGTAACCTGTAATTCTCTCCCCTGTTCTCTCTCCAGTACTTCCTCTTGTCCTTGCGTTCCTTGTACTATTTCTTTATTCCCTTTCTCCTCCAATATTTCTTTTACGGTGTTTCTCAGAACAGTCTCACAAACCGATTTAAATGCCTGCTTGATTTCCTCCGCCAAGATTATTTTGAAATTCTTCCCACGAAAATTCACCAACTGTTATTTCCCCTTCCATTGTTCCATTCACTTCTATGACCTCCATTTCACAAACCGTTTCTCTCACACTCCCAAGCAGATTCAGTTATAGCGTAGTTCTTAAAGGGTAATGATATGCTCCACAAATAGTTACCTCTTACCCCATTAAACTCGTCACTCACAGTTCTCTAGGCAGTTCCCCAAGCGAATTTATTACGGCCGCTTCTTTCACGAAAGGGGCAATATCCATCCGGGGTAGTCCTTCAACTTAAACCTATCACCTTGTCAATACGATGTATCTTCCAAAAAAACCAAAACAACCCCCAAAACTTTAAAAACAGACCGGGTGGCCGCGTCTCAGAAGAACATGGCAGCCATGTTCTTCACCTTCTCTCGTTCTCGCTTCAGGGCGATTCTGGTCACCCCCCCCCCGCATTGCCGAATTATGGGGGGGCAGCAAACAAGCCCCCTGCTTCTGCACTCTCTCCGGGAGCGCAGGTCAAACTCCCCCAACACTGGGGGGCTCAAAAAAGAACAAAAGTGGCTCGGAGCTCAAGCCCGAGCTCCCGCCCGTCATCGTGCCATACCAGAAGTCACTATTAAGTATCTTAATAGTCCCAAACCAACATTTAATAACTTCCCAAGATGTAACTTCACCTTTGTTTGAAAAAGTCTCTAATAATTACATTGGTTAACAGCATTTACCTGCAATAATTCAAGGCAGGCCTTAACACAGCAAAGTCTATATAGGCCTCTCCCCAAGATGTTGCCTCTTTCTGGGCCAGGCTGAACTGCTCGCTGCTGGGAATACCCAGCCTCCTTTAAGAAAGACTACAAGCACTGAGCATGCTCATTAACTATAAAAGGGGGGAAAGGGAGTTAATTGCCACACCACCTATTGGCAAAAGCAGGTGTGCCTGATCCCTGTATGCTGTTAACAGCTACAAAACTCCATTGGTTACATTCAGAGTCAGTCAAATAAGCTATTTGAAATCCCCATTCATTTCAATGGGAGAGTTCTAACCCCAGAGCTGGTCCACCCATTAGGCACACCCAAGCAAAGCTTGCTTCTTCCCTGTCCCTTCCTTTGGGGTGGAGGGTGGGCAGGGCCTTTTCCCAGGGCTCTTTTTGCCTCCCAGTCCACAACTGTTGAGGGGTGTGGCACCACAGCAAGCCACCGTGTCATCCCCAGACACATCCCGAGTCAGGGCAGTGTCAGTGGGGGGTAGCTTCCCCATGGAGCAGGTGGAAAGAAGGAGGGGGTGGCTCAGTATAATTCAATATATCGAACGGCATGTTGACCATCTTTATTTTCTTCAATTACTCATTGCTTTGACTTCTCAGGGAACATATATCCTTCCATTACTGTACTCAGTGCTGTACGATGAATCTCAGTGGGAAAAGCCATTTCAGTTCTATCCAGAGCACTTCCTTGATGCCAAAGGAAAGTTTGTCAAGAGGGATGCCTTCTTGCCTTTCTCTGCAGGTAACTCCTTTGAGATTGATCACTGTGGGTTTAATTAATAGATCAGGTGCCCAAGTCCATTGACTTGGAAGAACATCGTCCCCACTGGCCATTTATCACTTATTCTTTCAAGATTAATGTTATTCTTCAATATCTTTCATCACTGTGTTTCAGTATACCTCAGTCTTTCTTCCCAGTTACTTTTGAGTGCTTTATGGCCAATTGCTTTGGCATCATTCCGTGGGGAAAATGTTAAAAAAAATTACAAATAACCTCAATTAACAGGGCTTCCCTGTCCCTTCCACATTGTCACAGGTCGGCGAGTGTGTGCTGGTGAGACCCTAGCCAAAATGGAGCTCTTCCTCTTCTTTGTGAGTCTCTTGCAGAGATTCACCTTCCAGCCAGCCCCTGGGACGTCCAAAGAAGATCTGGTCCTGACCCCTGCAGTTGGCTTTACTACACCTCCAATGGCCTACAATTTGTGTGCTTTGCCGCGTTCCTAACATCGAACCCTGCTTAGCTCCCCACTGTGTGCACCACCACCTTCCTTTTCTGCAACTACTTGCCAGCCAAGGACATTCCAGACTCAGTGGAACCAGACTGTGGCCTTCTCAGAAACTTCAGTGCCTCACACATGCCTCTCTGTGAAAACTCCACAAGCAAGATCAGAGAGTTAGTTTAGTTCAAAATTTTGCTTCTCAATCCACAACTGTGAAATCCCCTTCACTACCTGAGTTGTTTGCTGCATAGCGAAAAAGCAATCCTGCTTCTGTGTCTGGCGATTTCCTGCATTGACACATCGCAAATCCCTTTGAAACACTAAGGCCATGGTCAGATTGGAAGGTTGGCATGTTATGGTCGCGCCGTTAATCTCTCCATTTCGTTCGGGAATGGAACATCTCCGTCAGACACTGTGCTCTGAGGTGCCTTTACGGCATGCAGGGCCCGTGGCTGATAGTTCACAGTGTTACAGTGAATCATCCACACAGCGTGGTCCAGGTTGTGGTTTTTTAAAAGTTGTCCTGGTGTATGCGCTTATGCACACATTGCAAGTAGGGGGGAAAAACTCACCTGAAATGGATCGGACAGTTCAGACTTCCCATCCATTTTTGTGTGCACTCCCATGCATTCAGATGCATGTGCGGACATCCATAAGCACTGGACTTTTTCTGCTGGCCCTTTACTCCACACAGGAGCCAGATAAGGCTGTGTGAACAAGCCCATTTAATCCATAAGGGAACAGCAACTATATTGGGCCAAACTCCCTGTCTGCCTGCAGCCCAAGACAGCAAAGCCGGGGTAGCGTAATATCCACTTCCAAGTGAGATCCATCCAATCATACCAGCTGTGCAGATAAAACAAATATATTTCATTGCAGCTATGACTTGGATATCAGACCAGCTTCGCAACTATGTCAGGCCTCTGGATTTGCTTACCCGTTCTATTAACTCTGGAACAGTTTCCGCAATTATACTGCCTTAAGTGGCTCAAATGCTTAAGTCACTGAATTGCAGATCGAAAGGTCAGTAGTTCAGCAGTTCGAGACCCGAATGCCGCATGACGGAGTGAGCTCCCGTCTCTGGTCAGTTTGAAAACAAGAAATTGCAAGTAGATAAATAGGTACCACCTCGGTAGGAAGGTAACAGCGTTCTGTGCACCTCAGCATCTAGTCATGCTGGCCACAGGACCATGGAAATGTCTTCAGACAGCGCTGGCTCTTTGGCTTGGAAATGGAGATGAGCACCGCATCCCTAGAGTCGGAGTTGACTGGCTTCCGAGCAAGGGAAACCTTTACCTTTAAGTCTGAGAAGGAGACAGAAAACAAGGCCCTCTGGTTCACTGAATGAGAAAGCAAACCCATCTGAAAAGCACCGTCTGTGGGCAGAAGTCACTGGATCCCAGGGCATCCCAACCACTGACTTGAGCCATTCCACTCAGGCCTATTTCAAGCCTTCTTCTGGTGCAAGATCCAGGGAAAAGCCTCTTTCAGTGAGGAAAGCTTCAGGCATGGCTGAGTGGAACGGTAAGGTACAAGCAAATCTTTTCTAGAAATACCTGATTCTGTTGATGTTTCTTTCATTGTTTTGACTATTCCTTTATTGGTTTGGCTGTTGCGGTCACATTCATCCTTAGCCACCAACTTAGAGAGCGCATCTCTGTCTTTCTTCTTTCTGTCATTTTCATAGTTAACATGATCCTTTCTACATCCCTGTAGTTGCCAAACGTTATGCATATTGAAGCTGTTATTAATGTTAGTCCTAATAAAAATAATTTGTCTGTATATGACTTTGGCTTTGTTTCCCTGTGCTTCATTTTATACTAGGTACTAACCAGGCCCAACCCTGCTTAGCTTCAGAGATCAGACGAGATCGTCCGCTTTCAGGGTGGTGTGGCCGTAGGCCTTCATTTTATACTAGACAAAATGGTTGCCATCGGTTTATGTGGATACTCTGTTGCGAGCCCTTTACTAACTTCAGGAAATAGTCAGGGCTTTCACTGTACATCATCTGCATATTAGTGATACTTCACTCTAAACCATCAGACAACCTCTTGAAGAATCTTTATGTAAACATTGAACAGCATGGAGAGACAGGATATATATCCTTGTACATTCCCCAGACTTTCTGAAACCGGTTGTTGAAGAAAGAGCAGAACCATCAGAGCGTAGGGCTTCCAGTAACCCTTCAGTGAACCACTCCAGAAAGATAGAAACTAAACAATCAATGTGAATAATGGCTACTATGCTTTCTGATGCAGTTACATAACATATAGTCCTTACGTGTTAAGTAGATAACAAAGATAACACAACAATTAACAGAAGAAAAGAGCAAGAGTCCAGCAGCACCTTACAGACTAACAAAAGTTGTGGCAGGGTACGAGCTTTCATGAGTCACTGCTCACTTTTTCAGATCCTGTATGCATTTATTGTTTAAATCTCTGCATTGATACGGTGCAAAGCCTTCTGTTAGAACCGAAGGCTTTGCACCGTGCTATGAAAGGATTAAAGGACTGGCTTGCTTCCAATATAAATGCAGAGTTACAAACAATCGGTAAGTTTATTATTCCATTCAGCTACCTGGTGACCTTTACGTCGTAATGTTCATGGTTAATTCTAGGGAAATAACCCCAGAGGAAGATTTACTAAGGCCCCGGTCACATGGAGCATCAGCCACGCTACAGAGATGGAAGATAGGCAGATTTTCCGGGCGCGATCACAGCGCCACATCTGGGAAGCGTAGAGCTCCTGTGTCTCACCCGAGGCTTCCCGCTGAAGATGCGGGGTAAAAAACTAGTACCTCCGAGGTACTAGTTTCCGGAAACCGCGGGGCAGGGGCGGGCGTCTGATCGTGTTTCCGGTGGCATCCGGTGCCCGCCCATGTCCCCTCGCAAAAAGGTTTCCCCCCCCCAAGTCTCCATGGGATGTGCACAAGCACACAACGGAGCATGCGCACATTTCAGTTTTTTTAAAAAAACCACAACCCCGTTTGCTGCGCCGTCCCGCTTCTTTGCCGCGTCCTGTGATCGGCACCTCCCCCCTAACCACGGGACCTCGACGGGACCTCAACCGGACGCCTGATCGTGCAGTCGCGCGTTATTTTGGTCCGGGGCAAACAGTCATGCTCCCCCCCCCCCGCATTTTCCAGCCCGTATGACCGGGGCCTATGAATATCTTCTGAGGAAGATGTAAGCCCGAAATGGGCTTACATCTGGATGCTTGTTGGTTCATTACAGAAGCTGTTCTATAGCATTACAAGGCTGGGACTTTTCTTAATTGACATTACAGGACCATGTTAATTGTTCTGTTATCTTTGTTATCTGATTAACATGTAAAGGACTATATGTTATGTACCTGCACTATAAAGCATAGTAGCCATTAATCACCATTATTCTTTTTCTTTCCCCCCCCCCCCACTGTGATCCTGGATTGTTTATATGCTCCAGAAGGATGCCATGCTTCTGAAAAAACCAGCAGGTTCCACTTCCACTGTTTCTGTCCTGGTCAGAGTTATCATAGCTGCCTGTGTCCCAAAACCAGACTAAACTGAAAACATCTGAATCAGTGTTCCCTCTAAGCTGAATCAGTATGAGCTAGCTCACAGTTTTTTTTAGCCTCCAGCTCACACATTTTCGTCTTTGCTCAGGGAGGAGGGCTCCAGAGCAAACTAATTTATGCAGTAGCCAAACTGCTCACTCACAACTCTAATGCCAACAGTAGCTCACAAAGTAGATTTTTTGTTCACAAGACTTCACAGCTTAGACGGAGCATTGCTCTGAACAGTTGGAGTTGTTCAGCCCCCAAACCAGGAATATTTATAGGCAAGCAAATGGGCCTCTGTACTATAGGAAAGAGGCATCTAGAGAGTGTCAGCATGGGCTGTAGGCCTAATATAAAGCAACAGTTAATTTTTTATTGATTGATTGGACTTCTATCACGCCTTCCACACAAATGTGCTTAGGGTGGGTCACAACAGAAAACCAATACAAAATTCAACATTACTGGAAGATTTTTAATGGAAGAAGTTAACGGAAGATGACATTGCTTTCTGTTTCAGTTTAAAAAAAAAAAAAAGGAACAATTTGTGAGATGAGGGTAAATTACTTGCCAAAACTTACTGCATGTGAGTAAAAAATCTGTAAAAACATTGAAGAGGTAATGCTCCAGTCCGATCACTCAAAAAAACTAAAACTCAATCAGCACGAAAACTGAAACACTAGGAAAGCAAGTTGCCCACTATTGGTGGGCAACCCCGCATCAGCACTTCCTCTGTCATCCTCAACCACATTGTCCCCTCTCATCCTCTCCAGTTTGGTGTAGTGGTTAAGTGGTTAAGTGCGCGGACTCTAATCTGGGAGAACCGGGTTTGATTCCCCATTCCTCCACTTGCACCTGGCTGGATGACCTTGGGCAAGCTGTAGTTCTGATAAGAAATGTCCTTGAAAAAGAGCAGTTTCTGTCAAGAGCTCTCTCAGCCCCAGCTACTTCACAGGATGTCTGTTGTTAGCCGAATTGCTCTTTAGGAGAGACAATTGGAACAGTTTATTAATCGGGGTTCAGGTCTATGTCTACAGAGGATGGGGTGCACCAATACGTTTCAATGAAGAGACAGAGACAGGAATAAAATTCGCTTTAGTTTACTTAAGTATCATTCAAAGCACACAATAACATACACACACACACAAGAACTATGCAAAAACATATAGATTGGGTAAAGCACTGTTGCATTAGCAGGTATATCGTTGGTGGGAGATATTTACCTCAGGCGATGCGCGGCTCCTAAAGCTTCCAGCGGGAAGAGGTCAGGGAGGGAATAGAAAATATAAATGGGGAAAGAGCGTGTAGTCAGACCGGCTGATGACACGTGTGGCACTCTAGCTGCGCAAACTAGAATGTACAGCGAGGCAAGTGTTTTGGGATAGATAGCTGGATTTGGGGAAACAGCAGACAGACAGAGGTCGTAGGTAGATGGGAGGGTAAGGGATGAACTGGCTGCTCTGTGTTCTAAGTTTTAAAGCTGCTTGCGAGCAGGAGGGGGTGGGCTCAGGCAGCTTACACCTGTTGGCCCTTCCCTACAGATCTGGGATTGGCTAGAGGGTCATTTTCCAATCTATTGATTAACTTGATCATTGGTACCTGGGCGGGGGCAAGATGTACGTGCAGGGGCAACAGTAACGCTGAATCATCACTTCGCCATGTGGATTCTCCATGTGGAATG